CACTAAGGTTTGTCAAAACTTTCAAGCCGGTAGCAAAATTTATACTGTATTGGTTTTATAAGAAATTCAATCGTAGTTAGAGAAAATGTTATTGGTCTTAATATTTCGATGATATGATGACCTCAGAGCTGCCAACTACTACCTTTTTAACTAAATATTTTATAGAGTTGTAGACAATTAAAAACTATAACTTTTAAAACTTCGGGTGATTATATCAATATTTTAAAATGCTTACCGCGAGGCGAATGGTTTATTGCTTTATTAAAATTGCATGCATTTGCAGGCTTGTGTGCACAATTTAGGCCTATAAACCTTTTTCAAGTAGAAAGACAGATAGAACAAGACAGAAAAGAACAACACGAAGATATATCCAAGTTAACATCGAGATTACGAACCGGCTACCTCCATGCTTTGCACAGCGTTTGGCGGGTGATACCGCCCAGCCAGAGCGATCCTTTTTTGTTGTAAAATACATACATTGGTTTGAAGAAATTAACATTTCTAGTGGTTTGTAATAATTTTAGAATTAGTGTTACCAGACTCTACACACTGCTCATACTCATATGTGTTGGTTATCTTAACATCAGTCCCGCTAGGGGCTCCAACTAATTCATCTGAGTGGAAATAAATAATAAATCGCCGAAGCGCAACTGAAAGGTGAAANTGATTCTTCTACAATTAACGTCGCAGGTTACGAAGTTCAACTTCTTCCGCGCGGAGAGACTCCACGCACTATTTTTTTGCCCTTTTACAGGTTTTAAAACATCACCCACTTTTTGAAGAAACATAAATGGGGGTTGGTTTGCATCTCGGATAGCATACATTTCGGACTTACTTTTATTTACAACAAGTAAAAATAAAGAAAAAAATCAATCTGAACAATGGAATTTATCCCACACCAAAATAGTTTTTAATTACTTATATTTTTATAATTTTATTTAATAATGGAGGGAATATTTTGAATGGTAATGGTAACTTTTAAGCATATTTTAACCCAATCCGGTACAATAAATTTCGATTTAAAATTCTGTACAAGCACAGGGTTCACAAAGGTTTATCATAACTTTCAAGCTGGTGGCAAAATTTATACTGTATTGGTTTTATAGGCAATTCAATCGTAGTTGGAGAGAATGTTATTGGGCTTAATATTTCGATGATATGATGACTAAAGAGCTGCCAACTACTACGCTTTTAGCAAATATTTTATAGAGTGGTAGACAATTAAAAAGTATAACTTTTAAAACTTCCGGTAATTATATCAATATTTTAAAATGCTTACTACGAGGCGAATGGTTTATTGCTTTATTAAAATTACATACATTTGTAGGCTTGTGTGCACAATTTAGGCCTATAAACCTTTTTCAAGTAGGAAGACAGATAGAACAAGACAGAAAAGAACAACACGTTGTTGTTGTTGTAAATTTAAGTCGCACTAGAGCTGCAGAATGAGCTATTGGCGACGGTCTGGGAAACATCCCGGAGGATGATCCGAAGACATGACATCACAATTTTGATCCTCTGCGGAGGGGATGGCACCCCCGCTTCGGTAGCCCGACGACCTGCGAGCGAAGTAGAGCACTTTACGGTAGCATAGTTTAACGAGGACCAATACCTCACACCCTCGGTCCCGACGCAGACTGACCGCAGCCAGTGATGCTTGACTTAGGTGATCTGCTGGGAACCGTGTCTTAACGATCAGTCCACTGCGGGACAAGAACAACACGAAGATATATCCAAGTTAACATCGGGATTACGAACCCGCTACCTCTATGCTTTGCACAGCGTTTGGCGGGTGATATCGCCCAGCCAGAGCGATCCTTTTTTACTGTAAAATACCTACATTGGTTTGAAGAAAATAACATTTCTAATGGTTTGTAATAATTTTAGAATTAGTGTTACCAGACTCTACACACTGCCCCAGAAAAGTGCAATTAAAATTTAGTTTTTAGAAATATTTCCACGCAATTTTAGGACGACCACGCTATAGAAAAACTTAAATCAATGATCGGAAATATAACTAGTTGCTATCACCCGAAAATATTTGTTAATTAAATATTCGTGCTTTAGCTGTCCAACTGAATTCTTAAAATTGACGTGAAATTAAAGCCACTGAAATTTACTATAACTTCATAAATTATTCGATACCACTTTTTAATTTTTATCACTCATAAAACCCATTTATTTCAGAATAGTTCCGAGGTTGAAAATATCTTTGCTTTTTAAAACGTAAAGGATGATGTGAACATTATCCTAGTGATGCCTCCATGCCTAACTGGCAAAACATGTATAGAGCGCCATTAATTCATTGATCTTCTTCATCTAACTATCTGAAGCCTGGACGCATGTAAACTCTCTTTACACACATAGTATCCCCAAGAGATTTTGAGCTCGCTGATTGGCTTTCTCGGCAACGCCATCTGTGACGTATGACTATTTCATTTTGCCATGCTTGTTATTTTCAGCATAGATTGATTTCTATACTCCAGCTTTTGTGTACAAACTTGAAATGTCAGTTTTCTCAACAGAGAAACTGCCTTCTTCATTTAAAAATGAAGTAAAAGATATTTCCTCAAATACCATGGGTAATGGAATTTGGGATTGTGGGTAATGGAATTTGGGGAACTTACCAATGCGAAATGGAATTCTAGAACTTCCAAATCTCACGGACAAAGATTTGTTTGTAGGTAAATAACTAGTTTAGTTATTTTAAGAAAAAAATTGTATTTAATTTTTATGGAAAATGCTTTTTTCGTTACATTTATGATTATTACGTACATAAATTCTTATGAAGCTAATATCCCTCTAATTTATTGAATAACTTTGAAATCGAATTCAATTGCCTTACTTAATTCTTATGCTCACTATAAAATGAAAACTGAATAGTTTTCACTTGATAATTATTTAATTAAATTAATGTTCATTGAATTAAGTTAATATTTTATTTATTTCTTGTGGATTACTAAAATTAAATTATAAAACTTTTAATTTAAGATTTATTAGTGGCGCCATCTATTATTATAAATTAAAACTAAGAGATCTGCATTATGCCTACCGATTTATTACTTATTTTTAATGTTTCTTTTCCTTTTTTTTTTTTTTTTTTTTTTTTTTTTTTTTTTTTTTTTTTTTTTTTTTTTTTTNTTTTTTTGTTTAATGTTTTATAATACCGAAAAACTATTAATTGACATTTAAGAAATCAAGCAATTGCCTTTTAACATGTTTATTTTATTAATTTTTGATTGCATAATTCCCATCACAATAAAAGTAAATGATTATGAATTGTCCATTAAATTAATACCATGAGTAATTAAAGAATAAAAAAACAAAATATTCCCTCTTTTAATTCTAGTACATTTATATTGAATTGTATAGATATTTTTTTATTATTTAAGTGCAGGAAATTATTTGTTTGTCACCACAGTGCGTTTATGAAAGTGGCGCAGGAGAAATGTAAAAGAAGTTTTTCAAAAAATTCTACAATTTTTACATTTTTTTTTAACATTTTAGAATATTATCCTCTAAGATATGATGAGATCTTTTTCAAACATAATTTTAAAAATTTATTCATATGCATTTTAAAATCTCATATAATAATTTCANGGCACGTATTTGTGACAGTCGGCGCGAAAGGGTTAAATTTGCTCGTTTTCACCATGCAGACTTGCTGTTATTGGTAAATGGAAACAACAATAACAACTAGTTCTTTAACTTAGGCGTAGTTTCATACAACACTTTTTATGACTAGTAACTATGGTTTAAATGAACAATTTAACACAATTGGTCATTTAAATTACATTTTAAGTGGTCACTAATTCTGATATTTGTCTTTCAGCTGTTGTCATTACACTCGCTTCCACACTTGAACAGTCTTGCATTTGAAGAAGATATTTTGTCTCATATGATAAAATTTTCATGCAGCGTGAAGAGATAAATTTAATAAAAATGAATTTTTCTTACGAAAAAAAACAGTTACACTCGTTGTGAAATCGAGTAGATGAATTGTAAATGAAAAGTATGCTTCAATTGGCAAAAAAATTGCTTTTAATATTATTTCAAGAAAATTAAAATGAATAATTAACGAAAGAAAGAAAACGATTGATTTAGAAAGAATTGGTTCTTTGTTTGAAAACAAATAGTTTTAAATATTTATGTAATCTTATCGGCCAATCAGACGCGATGACAGTTAAGATTACAGCTACGTTTCCAGTCATTCCTTTTTCAATGCCCATATATTTCCTGGCTTTATGACGTATTTCAATTAAAAAGAATTTTTTTTCTAAAGGGAATCTGGAATATATCAAAAGTTATCATATTTCTCAGAAACCACGACAGAGAGAACTAGCTCTATGTTTTTTCGACCCAGAACAACATTGATTAAAAGATGTGCTAAGGAATGAACAGTTACGACGAAAACTAATGAACTTTAAGTGATTGATAAACATTTTTATTAAATAAAAAATGTGATTTAAAGTTTACTACATACAAGTTAAGTCGCTGTCACATATGTTGTGTCCAGTATGTTGTGATTATCGTATGTAGTGATCAGTACTGTGCTTATTTTTGACTAAAAGGATATTATCAAGATATATTTCTCGTTCAGAAAGTTTTAGAGAAGCAGTTGCTTTCGGATTTGCAAAACCAGTGATTTTTATTTTGTGTTTGTTCTAAAATACTGGGTACAGTAATCATGTATGTTGCGATCAGTATGTTACAATCAGTATTGTGATCAGTACTGTACTTATTTCCGCTGAAAATTAATGTAGTGATATATAATAAGAACTATTTTTTTTAACTGACAGCAGTTTAATAAAACTAGTTTCTTGCGAAATTGTAATACTTGTGTTTTGTATTCAACATCTTAAGAAATTAAACAAGTTGTGTGTTTTCTACCAAAATACAAAGAATTTACACGTTAGAAGAAGAGTTTTAAACGTTTATAAAAAATTTTTTTGATTACATCTGTTTTGAATTACATCTGAAATAATTATTTCAAATCAGAAAAGTTTAAATAAAACTATCAACACTAAAATGTACGTTTTTACAAAAAGAAGTTTTTGTGCAAAGAAAATAATTATTAGTTGTTGATTTTTCCGATTTCTCAGCAATCCTTGATCACCACAATGTCATATCCGTTCTTGCTCATTACTTTTTTCTTTATTACAAGAGTTAACTCAATTTATCACGTGCAATCGTCGTTTAAAGAAGAATGCAATTGTCATTGTTCTGAACCTTCTCTAAATGACGTAACTCTTTGCCAAAAAATTTCCAAGTTCGAAAAGGAACTGTCAACCGTCAAAGATGCCATCGAATATCGGACTCGTTACATTAATCAAATAAATGAATTAAAGGAAAAACTGGATTGGCAAGAATATATTATTGAGAAGATGTCAAAACAAATTGAATCGATTAGCAAATTTCCAGAAAATCCAGATGCCTTGAAACCATCAGCAGAACCATTAAAAATGAATCCAGAAGATGGAATGCAGGTATTTTTATATTTATTTTAACATAACTGTCAGTTTATTCGGTTCTTGTATTTAAAGTTGTAGTTTAACCCTTTTTAAGGCCGTGGTAAGTATACTTCCCACCAACTTTTAAAGTCCGTGTTTACTTTTCTACCACTTTTAATTTAGGTTTCCATTTGTTAATCACTTCAGCTCTATCAAAGCGCGTTATGAATAAAATTGACAAACATTTTTTGGTATAAGGAAACGTATAAAAGTTATAAAATGCATAATTCCTTCTGAAGTTTGTAGCATTTCTAAAATTTATTTTATAAATAAAGAAAAATAAAAGTCAATAAGTTCCTAATAGGTTGTGGTAAACATACTTACCACCAAAAAAATGGCATTATAAATTAAATTAATTTTTTATAAGCTAAATGAGTTTTTCTCTTCTTATATCAAATACTATTCTTATATGAATATCAATTCCAAAAATTCTTTAATTTACTTTTACTAGAAATAAATGGTCTTATAAAGGGATAAATTATGTTTTCATATTTCGTGCTTGATTTTAAAATAATGATTTTGACTGGCATCAATTTTATTTCATTACCTCTTTAAAAATCATTCCTGGAAAGTTCAAAATTCTGCAGGATTTTAAATTGTGACAAAATTTTTATCACAATTAAGGAACAAGTTTTAATCACGTTTTTAGAGCTTGCCTCTCTCATCATTTATAAATGTAATTATGTTAACTATATGTTGTGGTGTAATATCCTTTTAATTCTAATTTGGTAAAATATTAATATATTAACTTTGCTACCAATAGAAAGTTATTTTCTAGAAAAAAAGACAGAAATTCCTTATTTGGTATGATATCTCAAAGATGATGAAATTAATCAAAACAAGTCTTATGATTGTCAAGATAAAATTAATTTCACTATTTATAGGAAAAGCTTTCCTCAAAATGTGCAGATGGTGGCTTCTGCGCAAAACATAGCTGCGAACTGTTATAAAGTTTTAATATTGTAGCTACTGTCAATAAGTTTTGAAAAATTACATACTGTTACAATGTTTTGAAAATCTATATTATTTTATTATTTTTTCGGTGCTATAATAATAATAATTATTTATTTAACGAAGAAATTGGGGGGAAGGGGGAGAAACATAAATAAAATGTTTTCAAAGATGCTCTAAAAAATTAATCAGTTTTAATTAAACGAACAATAATTATTATATAAGTTTATAGTTATTATATATTATACGTTTCTTCAAGAGAATTTTTTGTCAATCTGCTAAAGACAGATTTTTTTTAATTTGAAAAAAAAAACAGTGCGTTTCGGAAATAAATTTTTTAGATAATGCTTTTTAAAAAAGTTTTAATTTTTTAAATAATAATAATAGCAATAATAATAGCAACAATAACAATAGCAATAATAATAGCAAAATAGCTATAATAATGATATTAATAGCAATAATAATAATAATAGCAATAATAATAATAATAGCAATAAAAATAGCAATAATAATAATAANAATTTTTTAGATAATGCTTTTTAAAAAAGTTTTAATTTTTTAAATAATAATAATAGCAATAATAATAGCAACAATAACAATAGCAATAATAATAGCAATAGTAATAGCAATAATAATGATATTAATAGCAATAATAATAATAATAGCAATAAAAATAGCCATAATAATAATAATATTAATATAGCAATAATAATAATAAAAGCAATACAAATAGTAATAATAATAATAATAATTCAAAAAATTAATAACTTTTGAAATTTAAAAGGTAAGTTTTATTTGACGGGGGCAATGGGGAATACATGAAAAGTAGAAAAAGTAACAACAGAGGAAGAGCAGATATGAGTTATGTAATGGATATATTGATAGTTTTTTGTAACTTTAGTTCTAATAGTGGTAGTTAAGTTTATATTTTAAGGTATTATTCTTAAAGACATTAATTATTATAAAAAAAGAAAATACCAAGATTTGTAAAGATTGTAACTGTTTGCTGCAGCTAACTTTTGGAAGGTCTTCCAAAATTATTTTACGTATTAAAAGCTGATTCATAATATGTTAAAATAAAAATTTGATATTTCGGAAAAAATCAGAATGCTGTCTTACTGAAGCGACTAGCTATTTTTTAACACTTAACTGTGAAACCAAATTTAATTGCATCTCAAACATTTGCATAAACATAAATTTTTATTCAAAAAGCTAAAATTCCTAAAATAAAAAAACAGTTGTTATGATATGAATTTTAATCGTTCCCCGATTTCTTGTTTTTAGCAAATTCAAAATGATAGTTGGCTTGAGTTTAATGTTTAATTAAATACCTAAGTTTCCCCTAAATTAAAAAATAGTTGCTAGGATATGAATATTAATCACCCTACTTTCCTAGATTTCTTGTTTTTAGCAATTTCAGAATTATTGTGGCTTCAGCTTCGTTTTTATTTATATAACTAAAATTCTCTAAAAAAATAGTTGCTTGAATGTTGATATTAATCATCGTGCTTTGCTTGGTACATTGTTTTCAGAAATTTCAGAATGAGCTTGAGTTTGGTTTTAATTCAAAACCCAAGTTTCTTAAATTATAAAATAGTTGCTAGGATATAACTATTAACCACCCAACTTTCCCCGATTTCTTGTTTTTAGCATTTTCAGAATGATGGTGGCTTCAATTTGGTTTTTATTCAAAACCCAAGTTTCCTAAATTATTAAATAGTTGCTAGGATATGAATATTAATCACTCTACTTTCCCCGATTTCTTGTTTTTAGCAATTTCAGAATTATTGTGGCTTCAGTTTCGTTTTTATTCAAATAACTAAAATTCCCTAAATAAAAAATAGTTGCTAGGATGTTGATATTAATCATCGTGCTTTGCTTGGTACATTGTTTTCAGAAATTTCAGAATGATGGTGGCTTGAGTTTGGTTTTAATTCAAAATCCAAGTTTCTTAAATTATAAAATAGTTGCTAGGATATAAATATTAATCACTCAACTTTCCCCGATTTCTTGTTTTCAGCATTTTCAGAATGATGGTGGCTTCAGTTTGGTTTTTATTCAAATACCTGAGTTTCCTAAATTATAAAATAGTTGCTAAAATATGAATATTAATCACATTACTTTCCCCGATTTCTTGTTTTTAGCATTTTCAGAATGATGGTGGCTTCTGTTTGGTTTTTATTTAAATAAGTAAAATTCCTTAAATAAAAAATAGTTGCTAGGATATGAATATTAATCATCGTGCGTTGCTTGGTATACATTGTTTTTGTCAATTTCAGAATGATGGTGGTTTGAGAAACCCTCGCATCAAAGACTCGGGAGAAGATCTGATGAAAAATATGACCAATCTTCTAGCTAAAGTCGAAGTAGTTGAAAATATTACTCTTGAAGTGCAAGAAGAATTGGAAAGCGAACGTCGAGTGCGAAGGCATATTGAAGTATGAATTTAGAACTTGAGATAATGTATTATTAAATATCTGTCCTGTCTGTAAGAAAATTTAATGTTATCTGTAATTTTTCTCTAAAATTTTGCTTTTACTTCTTCTGCCTATTATACAATAAGAAAATGTTCACATTTGTTTGCTTTTTAGCAAGATCTGAGTGAAGCTCGCACGTCAATAAAGATCTTGGGAGATAAGTTCTCAAACTTCTCGTCTCCCTCGGATGACAGGTTCTCACAGATGGAAGAAATTGTTTTATCCAATTTCGAATCAATGAACAAAACTTTCTTTGAAGATTATCTCCAGAAATTGTATTATAAAGTGGATGGCGTAGTGTATCAAAATGAAACAAAGTATGTACCACTTATCACATCTTGAATATTTAAAATAAATTATGTTGTACAATTTTTTTAAAAAAAATCTGGAGAGCCGTGTTGGCTCAGAGGATACAGCGTTCGCCCTCCAATGAGGTGAACCTGGTTCGAATCCCAGTGATAGCTAATCGATTCGAATTCCGCATCCTTGCACCAACCACAGTGCTGACGTGAAATATCCTCAGTGGTAGATGGAGATTCTTTTATGGGTAGAGTCCATTTGCCGTCAGGCAAACCGTGGGAGGTTTTCGTTTTATTCCTCTCCATGTAACGCAAATGCGTAACAAAAAAGTACTCCACGAAGGAAAATTTCCCCCAATACTTGATTCAGGAGCTTCCTTGTCTTCTGGATTGGGTTTTAAATTAGAAGGCGACTGAACTGAACATTGGTAGCCGTAAAACCGAAAATTGGGTCGGCTGTTCAACGACGGTTATAATATAAAAAAATATAAAATAAATCAGGAGGAACTTTATGAATTTTCATGTTAACTAAATACAAAGTTACAATGGAATTGATAAAAAAATATACAATTTACATTTAAAGTTTGTATTAAATTAGGTAGATATGAACTTGATAGCCTTTTGATTCACCCAGATAGAGTGTCTGCTATTCCTTCTCATTTTTGTAACTTTTATTTTAAATTCGTGAATTTTAGAGAATATTTGCTATATAATGTACCAACGATAAAGTTCACTCTGCAAATTTGAAGTTATAAAATTAATTTTTTTTAAAAGTTTAGTTAACATTTTGTGCCTTTTGACACCCCTTTTGTGCTAAATATTACATAAATGATAAAATGCAAATTTACACTATCATGTAAGTTGATCATAACTATTACCCTTGCAAATAACTTTAAGGCTTTTTATCTGTAATAGTAAAAAAATAGTTTTTTTTTCCTTCTTAATTTTACATACACTTAAAAACACAGGTTAATTGTCATTGGCTCATTCTCCGCTTCTTTGTATAAGCGTCAATTCAAATGGCTATAGCTATCTGTGTTTATTGGTGATGGGTAATTTAGTACTCTTTAGTAGTGTTACTGTGAATGAAAGATAAATATGGAAAACGTCGACATTCACCGCTGAATGTCGACAATCACATAATCGCATTGTGGAATGCACGAAACATTTGTTATTTCTGATTCGATATTAAATTATTCGTTAATCTTTTAATATTTATTCGATATTTTAACATACAATTAGTATAGATTAGGAAAAACATCAGAGTTCGGTATACCAAGAAAATGTATGCTTGATCTAATGATACAGACGATGGGAATACTAAATTTTACAGGCAAATGTAAATTGATCTTAAAAAAGCATTAGTGTAAAGAGCACGTGTAATTATCAAATTAATATCAAATCAGATCTAGCACATGTTTCGAACATTCGAAAAAGCAACTTAGTGATTGTTAGCATTCACCAGTGAAGGTCGACAACCACCAATTTCACCTTTCACGGTGACGTATTTTCATATTTCTGTTAGTTTGGAATATATCATCAATAAACATTTTTGAATTTTAAAAAAAACGAGCTTTTAACGGGTGATTATTTTTAAATAGAATGATTATTGTATTATAATATTCCAGTTAACGTTGTTTTTTTTATAAATTCTAGTTAACGAAGGACAATTCTTTGCCAAATCTCAAAACGGTTTTCTATTTATTTACTAATTTTGTTTGTAATTTTCGATCTCGTTAGTTTCATTTTCGAGTAGTATTCTGGAAGACAATATTTTAAAGACATGAATATTAGAATATTTCATCCGAGATATAGAAAAAAAATATACTTCTTAACATACTATTTCAGAAAACTGGTCGAGAGATTGGATAGTGTAGAAGCGGAACTTCATCTAGGTACCAACACAAGCATGATCCAGAAACTTTCAGATGATTTAAGAAATGTAACAGACGTTTTGATCAATTTAACAGAATCTGTGACAGAAAAAATGGCGTCAGATGAGAGTCGTATGGAGATCATTGAGTCAAAAACAAACAAGATGGATGAAATGGAAAATTTGATTGGTCAAGTTGAGATGCTTTCAAATGCCAGTGTACTGATGCAAAGTGGTTTGTCTGATTTATGGGATGATATGAAAAGTGAGTAGAGCTAAATATTAATATTGAAAACTTTTAGACCCTTAACGTTCAGAAAACGTCTCATAAAGACACGTTTGAAAAGAAAAACAATAAACAATCTAAATTTAAAAGTTTTTGTATTCAATTGCTTCGGAGTTGTCACAACCGGGGGAAATTTTGAAATAGTGTAGAAAACATTACACAGGGTGGCCGCAACCGATAAATATTTGGGAAATTGGTTGTAGTTTCAGTAGTCGGCAATTTACTCAGAGGTAGTGCGCTTGTTCTTGTTTTCCAGTGGCGCAATCTATGGCCAAGAATTCGACCTCTGCCACAACCATAAGTCACACCCGTTTTATAAGGCTCACCCATTCATCCACAGATCGTAATTTTGACATGAACCAGAGAAAGATCAATCTCCAATTCAGTACCCCCAGAGGTATAGTTTGTCGTGGAAACAGTGAGTACTTTGTGACCCAACAAATTTAAGGTGCATCAGTCACCATTTACTACACGGGGAATCTTCGGTTGGCTGGATTCGAACTCCCATTCTCAAGAACGTGAGTCCAGCACCCTGGCAACCAGGCTATATCAGCCCCTTTGTAAATTGGTTACAAATACAATTCATTCGGCTGTTGAAAATGTAAAAAAAAATTATTTCACTTTATATTTTAGGAATTAAATTGACCTGTTTTACACGGAGTATTTATTAGGCATATTTTTCTTACTTCAAAAATTTTTTTAACGGATTAACTAAATGGCTTTTGTATTTAATTTTATGTTCGCATCAAAAAGTTTAAGCCCTAGATTCGTTTTTTCAAGATTCATTGCAATCTCTTCTTTAGAAATAAAATGTAGTCAGACGTAAACTCATTTCCCGTTCGTAACTATGAAATTCCTGTTAGAGGGGAATCCCCCGTTTTGAAAAACAATCAACAATTAGATTTTTTTTTAAAGATGAAAGTATCACATCTCTTAACGTATGAAAATGTTTGACTTTAGATGAAAGCATGCGTCTACGAAATGAATTGGAACTCCGACTGGAACAAGTAGAAAACAACAACATAGGAGGATATCAAAACTTGACTTCTGATCTAGGTTTATTGAAGTGGAATTTATCTCAAACAGAACAATCTGTATCCAATATCCGGACAGAAATTACTATCCTTTCTGCAGATATGACGTTAATAGAAAATAAATTATATGATGTTACAACAAACATGGAAGCTGGCTTCAAAGGTAACTAGTTTTTGACTGTAACAATAAATTTTTAGATAATGTGTATTTATATGAATTGTAACGTTATGTAACTATATTCTACACTTAACACGCTTTTTTAAAAAACACTTTCCAAATGAAACATGTTAGAGAAGATAAGCTTTTTTTTCTCTCGTTTCAAATATTATGGATTTTTATTTTATTTCAAAACCGTCGTTGAACAGCTGACCGAATTTCTAGGGTTTTTCGACTACTAATGTTCAATTCCGTAGCCTTGTAATTTTCAACCCTATCCAGACAACAAGAGAATTCCTGGATCAAGTATTGAGAGAAATTTGCTTTCGTGGAAGACTTTTTGAGGGACCTAACCCGCCCTTTTGCGTTGAATGGAGAGAAAAACCTCGAAGACCTCCAACGGTTAGCCTTTCTTTCTCGGTCTTTTTTTACTTAAAATTTAATTTTTACAAAAGCAAAGATTTTAGATAACAAAGACAAAAGAAGACTTTTAAGAACTCCGAGGGGTCACGTCCGAGAGGCAGACCCCCTACTAGATGGCTCAACGACATCGAAAATGATTTGAAAACCCTGAAGATTAGAAATTGGGAGTTGCCATGGATAGGAGACGCTGGCATTTGTCAGCTGTTGAGGCAGCCAAGGCCTTCAAGGGGCTGTTGCGCTGGCAAAGAAGAAAAGTAAAGATTTATAAACAACTCAATGTAAGGACTTAATGTAAGAACATTTCGTCAGCGCAACAACTTCTGTTTTGTTTTTTAAATTGATTTTGACAAGTTTTGGGATACCGGGTATAACAATAATACATGATCAGGTCTGCCAACTACTATTCTTTTTGTAAAATATTTTATAGAGTGGTAGACATTTCCAAACCAAAACTTTCAGAAATATTATTAATTTTGCCAATATTTTAAAAGTCTCATCATGAAAGAGCCGGAATAAAGTGGCGTAGCATAAGAATTTTCTATGTATTGGTGCGGAAAATAAGTTTAAAAGAATAAAAAATAATCCATTAAAGCATTAACTTAGTTACCAATAGAATAACATTTTACAGTAAGCGTAGAAAGTTGGTAGCCCTGCATAATTGTCTCCTATGTGAGAAGCTTTTACGGTTCTTTTATTCTAACTTATATATTTATCATATCTTTTAAATCTAGAGACAGATGCCAAGCTGGGAAATATGACTGAAGATTGGAGAAAAGTCTTAGACGCCAAAACTCGTGAAATAATGAAAAAAGACGATAAAAGGTTCGAGGAACTTAAGATGAGACAGCACAAAACGGATATTTCAGACCTTGAAGAGGATATTAAAAATAAATTTGGCTATGATATTTCCGAGGGAAACGAAGATGACATGGACGATATTGTTAGCTTTGGAAGTAAAGGTAAAGATATTTGTCTTACTAATAAAAATTTTTTTTGAATGATTGACTTGGGTAGAACTCAATTTTTGCTAGGTTTGTATTCGAAATACTTGGTGCCATTTAAACTTTAAGAATACAGAACTTTTAAGATCTATATATATATATTTATAGTTCTTAATCTTTTAAATATCCCATCTAAAAAAATAGTTAAATTTTTTTTATTTTGTACCCATTTTTACTTACTTTTTTTAATTTATTTTTATCTATTTTTTCATTTATTTTTATGTCTATTAAAATATTACAAATCTACAAATAAGTATGCGAAATTTAAGAATGTTGCACTAAATAAAGAGCTTTATTTCGAATATTTTTCACAAGATTGTGAGATAAAATAAAAAAAAATTCTGAAATTATTGATGATATTCACCTTCTAATCTTTAATAGCCTCCTTTATATTAATCTTATATTTAATATATATATTTATTTAATATATATATATATATACTAGGAGGCTCCGCCCCCTGCTCGCTAACGCTCGCCAACCCCCGAGAATTGCTACGCAATCCTATGTGGTTCACGCCGTGAACCATGGCTCGCTGCGCTCGCTCGCCAATGAACACAATGTTCTAGCACAAAGACATAGTATATTATCATCAAAGACATAGTATTTTATCATCAAAGACATAGTATTGTACTTATGTAGAAGAATTCTATCAATGTTCTTATTGGCTTTTAAAAAAGTATATTAGCTATTTAGATTGTACATGGTGAAAAAATCAAAACATTAGCTAAATGAGAAACATATTAGCAAAATAAATTATCAAATATTGCAGTTACTCACCTAAATTCAACTAAATGTGTATAATAAATTAGTTAATGCTAGAAATTCTGAAAGTTTTAGAAAAAAATTTTATTATTTAAAAATATAAACTTTAAACCCTAACTTTTCCTTGTGAGATAATAACCCTCAAAAAGTCTTTCATTTTCAAGAACACAAAAATTTGTTTTATCGCCAAATGAAATATTTTTTGGTGATCAGCATTATTGAAATCAATTTCTATATTAATTAACATTTGTGATAAAGTACATAACATTTTAGAACAAAATAAGGATGTTTTACATACAATAAATTAAAATGCATGGCTGTTAGCATTACCCGAGAAATACCACGTGGAGGTCGCCATGCTGCATTTCTAATCGGGGAGTTTTGATTTTGGCAGTTCCCCTTGCCTACTGCCAATAGAAGTTTCAATTAAATTTTTTCCAAAAAACATTTTTTTCTGCAAAGCTCTAAGAAATTAACACTAAGCATTTAGAATTTCTTTGAAAACACAATTATAGATTTGGCATCTTGGAGCAATTACTGAAAGGCTGTCAAATGACTTAACTCTTGACAGGCCAACATAAAGTTGTCCATGACTAAAAACTTGTTTAGTCAATACTAAACTGATTTTCTCAAAAGTCTGACCTTGTGACTTATTTATAGTCATGGAGAAGGCCAGCCTAATTAATTCCTAATTGAGTTTAAATTAAATATTATCATGTTTTTAGGGCATGAATCTGAATTGAACAACATGATAATGCTCACTCTGGTTATTGTTTCCGTTTTTAAAAGCGCTATATGTTGAGCCACCTCAGGTGACATTTGCCATGTGACATTTTTAGCAGCAATCATTGGTCGATTTTCTTACGTTGCCATTCGGGGAGTTGTAATGAGGCTTTTTTTTGGTGCCGTGTAAGAGAAATATATATATATTATTATCAATTTTAACCATACCTCCTGAGATACTGCAGGGCTTTTCAAAACTATCTAAAAATAATTAATAAAAAAAAAATTGGACTGTGAGGATTTTTGAAAAAAAAGCTACAAACAAATAAAGGGTTTCTGCAAATTACAAGCAATTAAACCATTAACCCCTTGGAGACGGGTGATTCAGAAAAGCATTCGTACAAAATCAGAATCAAGTTGTAATTAAATAAAAAACGGTAACTTAAATGTAGTCGTTTCTAATTTGACAGACTTACCTTGCTTTTACTTTAATTATTGTTAATTTAATCATATATATAATCAATGTTAATTCAAAGTATAACTAAATAGTTTTATTTTGAACAAAGTAATGGTGAATTAAATGAATCAAACAATTATAACTCCGCCCACAAATAAATTGCTAAAGAAATACTTTGATTATCAGTTTTATCTTTTTACCCTGATTGATAGGGTTTTATGCTGGCACGAATTTGTGACAGTCGGCGCGAAAGGGTTAAAGTCCTAAAACTCCCTCACGTATTTTTACTTGTAAATGAGATTTTAGTGAGACTTGCTAGAAGTTTCGTTTGCTTTAACTCAAATTAAAAATTGCAGTCTAAGAAATGTATCTCATTCGAGATGCAACGACTACTGTATGCATTGTATAAAAAGACATTGTTAGCAGTAAGTGTCTGCAATCATATCGAAAACAATATTTATTTTTTGTGCGTACTCATACTTTTTATCAATGCTACTTGCATACCGAATATTTAGCAAAATTCAAATGTTTAGAATAATTGGAGCTGGTTTCTTAAACAGATATCGATATTTAAATAATTTGCTCATTGAGACTTTTGATCAGTATAGCTTGTCTATGATAAGAACTCCCCTCGTTTCTAAGTCTGAGGCCTTCGGCTGCTATGGAAACAAGAATAGCGCATTTCATGGAGGGTAGCTTCTCTTCACTCTAGGGCTAACACAATAGACCGAAGAAAAAGATTTACTTTCTCTCTCCGACCCGGAACCTGACCTAAACATTGACCCCACACCCCTACTTAAAATAGTTATACCACGTTACCATAGTCACCGCCACGAGTCCAGACGAATAGCTGGGGAAGTTCTTACTTTAGACAAACTATAGGACACTATTGTTTCACACGCATATGCAGGTTAGTGGGTTCCTTTCAAAACATGGCTTATAAGCGCTAATCAAATTGAAGAACTGGTAGCACAAAGATACATCCAGAGTTACAGCGGGATTCGAACCAGCTACCTCCATGCTACAGATCATTCTGTAAGCGAGACTGCTCAGTCAAGGAGCTCTTTAAAAGGATGCTAATGCACCATTATAATAAAATTTAAATGGTTTTTCTGTAAAATATGATTAGTTTTCTGTATAAATAATTCTAAACGCAATTCCCTATAAAATATGTGCGAGGTCTACATATTAATATCTTTCACTTGAGTTAACTATTTTAAAAATTTTTCTAGGACTTTATTTGTAATTGTTTGCCGTTTGAGTAACTTTATAACGATAAAATTCAATTTCCTATTCACAATTTCAAAGGTCCTTCAAGCATTCTATGCCGAAATTTTCTTATCTGTGGTATAAGAGCTTTGATGACTCAAAGAATAGAGCGTTCGCCTTCCAATGAGGTGAACCAGGTTCGAATCTCCAGCGATGACTGGTAGACACGAATTCCGCATCCGGCTTGCACCGACCACAGTTAGGCGGATCATGAGTTAGAGTCCTTTTGCAGTCAGGATAACCGTGGAAGGTTCTCGTGATCTTCCTCTCCATATAACGCAAAGGCTGATTAGTTCCATCAAGAAGTCCTTCACGAAGGCAAATTTCTCCCAATACTTGATCCAGGAGTTCCCGTGTCTTCTGGATTGGGTTCGAAATTACAAGGCTACGGAGTTCAATATCAGTAGTTGTAAACCCAATAAATTGGGTCTGATATTCAACGATGGTCATAAAACAAAAAATATATGTGGTATAAAGAGTTATTTTTACAACGTCTTAAATACTTTAAAAATAAACCTGAGAAGATTTTTTTCTTATAACGTCCCATACAACTAGCTTCGTAGTTAAATTATGAATATTGACTTGCCATCATGAGAAACTCTCCCACCAGAAGCCTAATCTGGAAATGAGGAAAAATGACTGGTGGAAAAAATAAAAAAAATTCGATCATATTAACTGGAAAAATAATATAGCTGTGACTATGACGACTTACTGCAATTACCTCTACCGATTTAATAAATCATGGTAGTCAATGATACTTTTTACTAAAATTAAGCTTGAAACGTAATGGTTTTACTGCCAATTGTTTCGCATTTTTGGATAAGGTTCCTTGTGTGAGTTGTTCTTGTGTTGTAATAACGAAATTCTAAGTCAAACGTTCCATTTGAAATTTGTTTTCTTTCAGATAACGAGGTATGTTCTTTGCCAACTACTGATGATGAGCATCTCCTAATTACATTGTATGAAGATAAAGATGGTGTACAACGATTAACGTTTGCTTGCTTTCCTATCGGTCAATATGTTCTGAGCGAAGAAGCTGATAAAATAGAATGTTTCAGAGGAGAATGGAAAGGCACACTGCCAACTTGTAAGAAACTTTTAACAGAAGAAGAAATGAAAGGTAAATATTTTCACGAAAAAATATTTTGCAAGCTTATTTTCTTGTAAAACTAAAATCCAACGTAAACAGCTGGGAACTTTTTATGCACCATAAACTTCCAATTTATATGTATTGTAAGAATGTATTGTAATTGCCAATGCATTGTAAGAAATTATTTTGCTTGTGGTACTGAGATAAGCAGACAGTTTTAAAATGAGGCAGATTTTATCTCATATGCATGAATGCCAACTGTTGTGTTTTGTGCAAAACATATGATAAAGAGGTTGGGAATTGAAAATTAAAATGCGTAATTTTGTTTAAATTTGCTGCCACTTTAAGGATAACAATACCAGCTCACTGGAATAGATTAGTATTTTATCAATACGTTGGTATTATTAGTATGCAGTGTTAAGTAAACGCCCATTAAATCAAATTTAATGAATCAAAAACCATGTAATATATCATAAATTTTGATACCACTAAATATTTTTCACACAGTGGTACAAGATAGTATCAATTAATTTCTCCAAAATATGTATAAGTTGGTAGCTATGCAGTGTGTAATAAAAGATGTTTGGTGCGGAACATTTTTATATGTAACTGATAAGCGAAAGCTAACGCAGTTAGACTGTTTACATATCAGCCAACAAAAAAGCCTTACATTTACTAATATTACTTTTGAACACTACCTTTCTAGTGTTAACAGAAACGCAAACATTTGTTTACACTGAAAAAACGGCAAAGAAAGATACATTTCTGCTCAGTCTAAAATTATCAGAACATTCTGCATACATACCAATTGTTAATGATATCATTCTTTCCGTCCTAAAAGTTACAATACATTGAAAAAATGATGGGTTTTATTTTTTTAAACTCATGTTTAGCAAATGGTAATAGAATTTCTATCGGAAAACAGCACATACTAACGGTAAATATCATTCGTGCCGACCAAAAAGTTACAATATATTGAAATTGATGGATTTCAATTTTAAACTAATGTTTAAAAAATGGTAACAGAACTTCGGAACATAGACCATACATACTGATTGTAAATGATATCATTCTTTCCGCCCTAAAAATTACAGAAATTCGGAACAGAGACCTTACACACTGATTGTAAATGATATCATTCTTTCCGACCTACAAATTACAGAACTTCGGAACATAGACCATACGTACTGATTGTAAATGATATCATTCTTTCCGTCCTAAAAATGACAATCTATAGAAAATGATGGGTTTCACTAGGTTTGGCAGAAGAGTTAGATCAAGGAAATCTTTGCAGAAAATCCCCATATGGTCCAGATTTTGAAGATCCCACCGACTGTTCACGGTATTTCAGATGTTGGAGAAATAGGAGCGAAAGAACACGTTGCAAAAGTGGACTTCATTTTAATCCCATTGCAAAAAGATGTCAGACTCCAAGTATCTCCAAATGCGTGACATACGCTACACCAGCCAGTCAGTATTGTACATTTGCAGTTGTACTCTTTACTAACACTTTTAAGCACATTCATAACTATAGGTACTAAAGAGTTAAAATATATTTCTTTGAAACTAAGTCCTGTTTCTAAAGCAATGGACACTGATCTTTTATACACTGGTAGCAAAACTAATTTCATGGTAGTTTACTTTATATAATTCACCACTACTTAGTTCTGATATATATAGTTACACTTTAAATAAAAGTGAAAGAAAAAATAAGTCTGTCAAATTAGCCACGCTCAAACTTAACCTTTTGCTTACGGCTGGTACAACATATGGACCACATGTGATGGTACTATATGATACACCTTAAGCCTACGGCTGGCACAACATATGAACCACATGTGATGATACTATATGATACACGGTAAGCCTACGGCTGGTACAACATATGGACCACATGTGATGGTACTATATGATACACCTTAAGCCTACGGCTGGTACAACATATGAACCACATGTGATGGTACTATATGATACACGGTAAGCCTACGGCTGGTACAACATATGGACCACATGTGCTGGTACTATATGATACACCGTAAGCAAAAGGTTAAGCTACCTCTTTTTATTTTTTTCTATCCTCATTTTGATTCCGTACAAATTCAATTATGACTCGCCCGTCCCGAAAAGGCTAAGTCATGTCATGTAAACCTTTAGTGGTTGCGTCTGTTTTTTAAACGTTCAAAATAAATCTAGCATAAATTTCGAGTTCAAATGGTTTAACACGGGTCTCCAAATCGACATGAATGGTTGACTGAAAGCAAACAGTAACGAGCTTCCTCAGACCGGAAAAAATTTAGAAAACTTCCGGTGTATCCCTCCGCTTATGTAATGCCTACGAGGCGATGTGTGAATGAGCTAAGGCCGGAGCCCCTGAGTGGAGGAGCGGAAGTTTTGAGTGAAGTTAGGCAGAAGCCGCTAAGTTGATGAATGCATGTGATGAGCTGAGTTCTGACGGAGCCGCTGAGTTCGAATCTGTTTTCCTATCCGAGGCGTTCCAATGCTGAAAGTCTGTTGATTCACGAGTGCTTACTGCCATGTTAAAAGGAAGACTGAAAAGAGTTTGAGTGTGCTGTGTATCAGAAACTGGAATGTTGACCTGATCCACGAATCTGGCGGCAATACCGGTGGGCGCTCTAGGAATTTGGTTCGTAATTTGATTTGAATTTGTAAACTCTAAATTCGATTTTGTTACAGTTTTAAAAGAATACTTTACCTTGACTTTTAATTGCTTCTACTATAATTTAAGATAAATGTGCCTTTTGTTTTTAATCGTATTTACAGGATTTAGAGAATATTGTGATTTTTAGTTGTAATCACTTATAGCAGATTTTAGGATAAGCCGTGTGCCTTCTATTCTTGATTGTTTTTCTACGGGATTTGGAATATTATAATATTGAGGCTTATATGTTTAATTGCATTTTATTTAAAATACAGTTTCGTATTGCTAAATTTTAAACCTGAAGTAACTAATAATTTGGAAATATTTGATTTCTATTTGGAAATGATTTGAGTTTGTCTTTGTTTAAAAATTTTAGTTTTAATAAAATTGGTTGTAAATGTTACATGTTTCAAGTAATTCCTTTGTTGATTTTTTTTTTGAACCTGAGTAGCACTGTTACCAAAGTTAATATATTGATCACAGCATAACCCAAATTTTGGAGGTACACCACATTAAACAGTTGATTTGCTTAAAAAAATATACTGCTCAAAAAAGAAAATCCGGCGAAGTAAATAAAGTCTTTATTTCTAGTAAAGGTAAATTAAAGTATTTTTGGAATTGAAATTGTTTTAAGAACAGTAATTGATATAAAAAAAAACTCATTTAGTTTATAAAAATGCCATTTATTTGGTGGAAAATATATTTAACACGACCTATTAGGAACTTACTGACTTTTATTTTTCTTTATTTATAAAATAAATTCCTTAAATGCTACAAACTTCAAAAGGAATTATGTATTTTATAACTTTTATACGTTTTTTAAAAGTGACAAATGGTTACCAATTTTATTCAAACTCACTTCAAGAAAGCTGAAGTCATTGAAAAATGGAAACCTGAATTAAAAGTGGTAAAACGTGGTGGTAAGTATACTTACCACGGCTTTCAAAAGGGTTAAGTTAATTTTCGATTATTTTTAACAGCTGAAATGTTGAAAGACCTTATTCCAACCATAATCATCGATCCAGATAATGTATACAGAGCGAATGGATTGATGGGTACAAACAACTTAGGACATCTTGTCGTATATCCAAGGACATCGTTCAAGCTCCGTTGTCTCTATCCAGACAACATGTGGGGACTTCCGAAATGGAACAAAAATTATCTACTCTATCCATCTAACCAACTGACGGTGTTCATAACATCAGCCTCAAGTGAAGACAGCGGCGTTTATTCGTGTGTGACGCCTTTTGGAAAGCAGCATTCAATAACGGTTGCTGTAGAAGGTAAATATATGATTGAATTATTTGCGAAAATGGCATCTGTTTTAAAACTCGCACAATATTTTTTAATTTCATGAATCCAAATCTTAAGATACTTAATCAATTAGGTAATGATAAAAGCATACCTGCCAACTTTTAATCCCTTCCATTATGATTTTTCCCAGTGGTATTAAAATGGAATAAAAATNTGGTTGACTCATTCCCCGTCTGTTTCAAAAGTTGGCCTCCTTCATAAGTTTTCATATCAATGACATCAATTGGTGTTGTCGGTATTTCGGGCCTATTTGGCACAGGCATGAGAGACTGCTCCAAATGATTTAGTTTCTCAAGTAGTTCTTTATTTTTCCTTTCATCTTCTTTAATTCTTCTTTCCATGTCTGCTAACTCTTTAGCCATTTTGGTTTCAAAATCCGAGCATTCCTCATCCGACGTTGAGCCACGTGCAGGTCTTTCGGTCAGCCGCTTTCCGCCACGTCCGTGGTGGTGATACGTAGCCATTGTTGCGTGATTGCAAATATTAATTTCAGCAGTGATGTTAACGTAAATTAAAAGCTACTATATCGGGCAGAATCGTTTAACTTAACTTGCATCTACTTATACTCTTAAGTTAACTCAGAATTAGAAAACATACATGATTGCAAGAGTATGAAATAGGTATTACTCACTCAAAAGACACCAATGGAAATCCGAAAGTTCTACGACCTCCTAAAAGCATAAATTGTTCTTCCACATCACATCAGAGCATCAAAAGTCAGTTAATCCTCAGTTGATCGAGTTCAATGATTCACTTTCGACATCATGATATATTATCGCATGACCGAGAGCAACATCAAAATCAACTCAACTTTAACAAAGTGGTGAATTGTATTAAACCTTTGAATTATTTACGAATAGTGGTGGATAAAAATTTACTAAATTGAATTTTTTAAACCAAGAATTACAATTAATAAATTACCACGCGAAAATATTTATTCGCTGTCCGGAGCAAGTTATCATCCCTGAACTACAGCTGCTTTTAAAAGAGATTTTATTACTCATAAAGGAATAAAATCTGAAATGCCAGTGCCACTTGGATATGAAAAGAAAAGTGGCTTCCAACCTTTTGACTACTAATGGTACTCATTTGTCCAGCGCTTAGCTCATTGTAATATGTCCCAATCGTAGAGTCGACCCATGATCATGCGTCAAATATTCCCTAGATGGCGCTAAAGAGTTTCTTGCATGAAATAGCATTGTGGTTTTGCGCTGGGACAGATATATCCCACTAGTATTCTTTATTGGGACAGATATATCCCACTCGTATTCTTCACTGGGATTGTTATGTTCATTCATATTTTCTCAAATGAACATGGGAAAAAGAACAAATATGAGTTGTCCAATGTGTAATGTCGGGTTATGCAAAGATTGCTTCACCCTGCATCATACCATGTAAAAAAAAAGTTCATAAAATAAATTTTTCGGTAATGATAGCTGTGCTTGTAGTAAGTCGATCACTACAGGTGGGATATATGTATCCCACCATTAAGTACGGCAGGGACATATATGTCCCAGCCTCTAAATTGATAACCGCTTGTCAGAAAAATCCCAAATACTAAATTTGCCTTATTTGTGACCTTTTGAATAATAAACGGGACAAAAAGAAATCATTTTTTTAAAATCGTTGTCAAAGGGTTAAAACTCCTGCTACCAAGTATGTGCATACCTATCAACTTGTACGGTCGCTGAAAACGATTTTACAAAGTGGAAGCAAAACAATAATTAAATTTCTAAGATTTTTCTAAATACAAAACTATTAAGATATCTATAAGCATAATTAATCAACAAATGGACCTTATCAACTTCTTTTTTTTTAATTATTGATTCGACGTGGTAGCTTAAATTTCTTTTTGAAACTTAAGAGATTTAATACGCCAAAATGCTAATGTTGCTGCCACTAAGAAAATTATTTCTCAACGGCTGTTCAAGTTGGAAGCGATGGTTCTGTAGTAACGCCCCTTGCTAGCCCTCTTTAAAGTTTATAAAAGTGAAGTTTCATTGCAATAGAATACATTATAGGAAATGAAAATATTTGATAACTTTTATTCAAGTGGTGGGAGATTTTTTTTTTTAAATTTAAAATTAAATTCTTTGACAAATTTCCATAATTAGGACCATTTTCATTTTATCTCTCAGGGAGGGAGAACTTTTATTTAAATTAAATTCTTTTTGCTGTATTGCTACTTTTTTAAAAACATTTTGCAAATTTTATATTTTCTTTGAAAACTACTAATTATTTCAAATAAGCCCCGAGATGTTTTTTTAGCCCCCTATAGGTGATTCTATAGGTTTTGTTTATTTTTTTTAAATAAAAAAGAGAAAAAAAAAATTCAATTTCTTACAAGTTGTTTAAAACTGGTTTTTTTAACCCGTTAGCTAACACATGAAAGTATATTTACTGCATGAAGTTTAACACGTTGAAGGCCATGCTAATTTTACATGGCTTGCCCATCTGGCCACAGTAAATAAACAAACTAAATTTGCAAACATTAGACGGATTTTATTATTTTTAAGCCCATCTGGCCACAGTAAATAAACTAAATTTGCAAATATTAGACGGATTTTACTATTTTTAAGCCCATCTGGCCACAGTAAATAAACAAACTAAATTTGCAAATATTAGACGGATTTTACTATTTTTTAGATTTTATATCATGACATATCTGTCCTAGTCCTAGTGTTTTGATTTTATTGGGTATCTGGGTCCTGTACATTGGGCATCCTGTAATGACATATCTGATTGACTGTTGATGATGATGTGGGGGGGGGATCTCCGCTACTCGCTTTTATCCCCCTTGCTGTAAGGTGTATCTTTTGAGAGTTGAGTTGTTGGTGGTGAAGTTGATGACGATGACATATCTGATAAAAGCGGTAAATATTATAAACCTACGAATTATGTAGAAATAGTGGTGGATAAAAATCTACTAAATTGAATTTATTAAACCAAGAATCACAATAATTAACCGGTTAACGCCCAGCGTCATATATTTAGGACAGTTCCTTTTTTCAAAAACATTCATTGTGGTGGGAAACTTTTTTCAGCATTTTCATTTATTTGGGTGAATTAAAAGACTCTCAGATACCACAATGATTTAGTTATTTCTGATTAGATCTAGAATTATAAGGAGCAAGTACTTTTTGATCTATCAAAGACTTTTTGAATGCCCTAAGAGCAGAAAAAACAATTAATTTCGAAAATAAATTATACTACTTTTTCCATAAAACCACTTTTTGTATCATTTCAATATATAAATTCGGGACAAAACGGGTTAAGTAAATTTTGAATAAATTTTCTGCAATGCCATAAAAGAGTGTAAATTTTATAGTTCTATATCATGTTATACGCTGTTAGCCAGCTGTTTTTCGCGGCCTATGTGAAAGGTCAGTGTCAGCAAGCGGTGGCAGACGCAGCCTAAATGTAATTTCAGTGTCTGCCACCGGTGGTTGAAGCGGCTTAAATGGAAAGTCCAGTGTCAGCCACCGATGGCTGACTCGGCTCTCAACATGTTAATAATAAAAAGATTAAATTTCGATTTTTATTGAAGTTTTTGACACATGGTGAAAATAACTTTGAAAAGCCAATTGTTATGTAGGTACCACTTAAATCAGAAAATGCAAAAGAAAAAGTAATTGGCTCATAATTCAACTAATATGCATGCCAACATCAACATGCAGTTTTAAATTAGCACATTATGCAAGTAATCAGGTGTAAGCAAATGGTAGAATGGTAGAAATCATATAAATCTCGGTGCGCTGCNCCTTCACATCAGAGTCCGGCGTCTTGAGTCCGCAAAACGTTAGCAAGCCCAGCAGGTGTAAGCAAAAAAATTTTTTTAACTTTTATATATTTTTATTTTATAAAAAAAGTGGTACTGCATTGTACTTATTTGATGAAATTTTTTTCACAATACGAAGAGATAGAACTTGAACAACAATTATTTGAAGAACAGAATGAATGAAGGTGTCCAGACGAGTTTAGGTGAATTGAAATAATATAACTTTAACTCTCTTCATTTTTCTAACGATTTTGAAAAGTACTATTTTCATATTTCCAACAAAATAAACGTGGTTGCAATTTCCTTACAAACATTTATTCGATAGAATCGAGGTATTTGTTTTCCCTGTGATATACACGGGCCAAAGCCTCCGATAAAATTAAAATAGTGGCAAGAAAGTTATGACATTTTCGTTTATTTTAAAATAAAATAAATATATTTTAACTACAGTGTTATGATAAAAAAATATAATATTATTTAAGTTCTAAAAATGATTGCGGTTTATTTTTTAAATAAAATGAATGGAGAAAGTTACGCTTTATGTTCGATTTAATTTAAACCAAATTTTTTGTTTGGTAGTTTAAAGAAAATGGACCACTATTTCTTAATATTTTATAGGAAGCTTCGACGTTTGTACATGGATGGTGTTCTCTATATTAGGGAACGCTGCAAGCTCCATATTTGATTACTTATTACTTGTGTTTACAATGCTGAAGGTGCTAACACTAACGTAAGATGGCGCACAGCTTGCAACAAGAACAAACAGTAATAAACAAATGGAAAGAGGCCAAATCAGGACTGCCAAAAAAGCGAGTTATTCAAAATCTAGCAACCATGTCACCTTTTTTTAACAATATATCTATAAATAACTAAAACAAATTTTCACTTCAAACTCACCAGAATTACTTAATAACATTAATATCTTGTGAAATATGGCACATTTGAGCTCAGAAATTATCTAATTTACTTCTATTATTGAAAACAAAATTATCCGCTTGAAGATATCGACTCGCAGAATAAGCTGTAGTAAGCAGTTGCAGACTCTCTAACTGGAACTAGAGCAGGTATTGAGCTCGAGATTGATATTGTTCACATTTATATTGAAAACAACATCCATAGTAAACATTCACGTCCCGCAGTGGACTGATCGTTAAGACACGCTTCCCAGCAGATCACCGAAGTCAAGCATCACTGGCTGCGGTCAGTGTGCGGGAGGGTGACAACTTGGATCAGTCTGCGTAGGGACCGAGGGTTTGCGGTATTGGTCGTCGTTAAACTTTTCTACCGTAAAGCGCTCGACTTCGCGTGCAGGTCGTTCGGGCTACCGAAGCGGGAGTGCCATCCCCTCTGCAGACGATCATAATTGTGATGGCATGTCTTCGGATCATCCTCAGGGATGTTTCCCAGACCGTCGCTAATAGCCCATTGTGCAGCACTAGTTCGACGTAAATGAAGAACAACAACAAGTAAACATTCACATTAGGTTAGGACCTATGCAACTTTTACAAAATTGATGTTCTCGAAAGTAATAAATAACTATTTATTTCAATCGCAAATAAGATAAAAATTTTATCATGGGACCGCGCTTACATCAAGGAATATATTCCTCTATGTAAGCGCGGTCGCACGATAACATTAAATCCATTCATAAAGGGTTAAAGTTTAGGGATCATGCTTTGTCATTTTATTTCTCGTAATCAAGCCTCTGTTTGTCAAAATCGTTAACATTCAAACCTACCATGTCATAGCGTAACCATCACATTTTTGGCATTTTAACCCTTCTAGGACCGAGATCGTGATGACGCAACTCCCAATTTACTACCCTCCCCACACGATATCATATGTGAGACGAATCATTCCGACAACAGCAGACCATATCTATTTGGAACGCTATATTTCAATTTTTAAACAACATTGAATGTCGGTTGAAGTCAGTTATAATTTCGAATAAATGTCTCGCAGACTGCTGACCATTAATAGAGGCGATCGCAACACTCGAATACGCCACCTGGGGAGAAGACCGGTTCCATGCCTTTGATCCTTCAATCTCCTCCTCTTTTCAGGTGTATTGGAATGTGCTACGATATTTTTCCGGGAGAATCCTTTCTGTCCCAAAGTCACAGGTGTGCCTCGCTCAAAGTTTTCCCCCCTCCCTTTATAATCANTTTTCTTTACTATTTTATTTGTAGTTAACGAATGTTTAAAAAATTCAGATTGATAAAATTTTTATTCTCGCAAATAAATATGTGTGTATATGCTACCACCACAGAAAAAAAAACATTCTTGACTTCTTTCAAAATTTTTCTATTTCAATAAAATTTTAGTGACTTTTTTGTATTAATACTTTCAGAACACAAAAAAATACTGAATTACTGATATACATTCCTTTAAAGCGAAGTCCATAATAAGTTGATTTCAGTAATAACATGAACAATACCTAGTGCATAGCTTCATTTAAAATACTTCTAATATACTAGTATACAACTTCTTTTGAGAGATGAGAGAATTGGCGAGTTTCTAGTCTTCAAGAATTGTAGCAGGATTCGAAGGTATTAAAATACGCCAATGCTAATCTCATTGTGTAACCCCTATGCTTTCTCGAAGTTCTTCCTCCCTCTCTGCGCCTGAACATCGTTAACAACAGGTGTGTTCTTAGGGGGAGACTGTCTTGAGTAGTACAATGGGTTATCTTTTGGGCCAGAGAGGCCATCCCCATTTTTCCTTTTCTTAATATTTTTCGTATTTAATTGCTAAAAATATTTTTTTTAAAATTTCCACGACTCTTTCATTCAGAACTATGTTTAATGTAGTTTTCAGTTCCATATAGTTCCCTAACTTAAAATATTTTAATATTTGAAAACCAAGACAGAAACAAACATTACTTCCTTCTTCTATGACTCTCCTCACGCTGATGGTGAAAGCATGCGAAGTGTTGCCATAGATAGAGAGTTCTGCTCTACGCCATCTATAGCCCATTTCGAACGCCAATGATTTATCGGTTCCGTTTTTTTTTAAAATTAAACTATGTAAATAGTTGTAAGTGTTTGCTTTTTCGAGAGATTTGGACGCGTATTACAGCGCTTTGGGTTTCCGTTAATAATTTGACGGAGTAGGGAAAGAATGGAATGATATTTGTTTAGTTAGGGTAAACTTGTTTGCAATCTGAGGTTCTCTAGATTGTATTTTGTATGCTTCGTATAAGTTTTGAAACCTTTTTTTTAAAAAAATAAATAAATATCGCGAACAATTTATGACAGTATATTCAGGTATTGTCAATAATAAATTGTAAATTTCCATGCATTTAATTTCAATAATGATTTAGAGGAATTTTCTAAATGAAATTAGGCTTAACGGAAAAATTCGCACAGTCCCGTTCATAGGTTTACTCTCAGAGCATGTTTTTCTGGAGAAGCGCTTCGTGCTCTTATCGAATGTTCTGAATAGGTTAATGTACTGCCGAAATAGAATTATGAACAAAATGCAAGTCGGTCGTTACAAAAAAAATAACACGCATTATCATGCTTGACTCTATGACCCACTTGGACTGGCTATAGAGGAAATTTTTTTAACACATATAATGATGGTACAATTCTTAAATTTATTTCCAGCAATATCGTGCCCAGAGTTTGACTCTGCGTTGTTGCATGGCTTATCCGTATTCTACAGGCCTCATCCAGAAGGCATGGTCAGGGTATTATCAACTCAAGCTCAATTCAAATGTGACAATGATAAAACGATATCCGCAACTTGTTTAGCCAACGGAATGTGGTCAAGGAGGCCTCCAACTGAAGAGGAGTGTCCTACACAAGGTAAGAAGTTTTTAAACTTTTACTCAATACAAATTTACCTTAACAAAAAAATTTATGAATAACCCTGTATATTTATCCTTATATGAATGTTATGTTCACTTAAAAACTCAACAAGTGTACCAATATAAAGTTGACAACAACTAGCACTGAAGCAGGGTTTAATGGAAGAGCAAATCTAATTGAATAAAGCAACATTACTGTTTGCTTTAGAACTAAATATAATCTCATAAATTATTAACATGTCCTGGCAGTCGAAATATATTGTTTTTGAGACAATTTGAAACACATTCAAGTTTTATCGGACAGGTCAAGCTGGTTTTAATTACAAAAAAAAAAAAAAAAAAAAAAAAAAAAAAAAAAAAAAAAAAAAAAAAAAAAAAAAAAAANACATAGCTGGATTTTAACAACTATATTTTAAAAATATACTTGGATCCTGCTATTGTAAATCGTCTGTGTGCGCAGCAATAAGTATACTATACACAATGGTACACTATATCCAAAATCTTTAAAGAACTTAGAACAAGAAGGTTCCGCACTCTGCTTACTATCACTTGCCAACCCCCAATAATTGTTAGCAATTATTTATTTGTTTGCTTCACAAACAAATTTACCATTAATTTAAATCAAATGTATAAACAAAATATTCTGCATTGATAATCCTAGTAAAATTTAAGAAGTGGAAGTACGGAATTATCATATTTACAAAATAATGATAATAGTGCCAAGCAAACAGGAAACTGTGTGCGTTAAAGGAAAAATGGGAAATCTCTGCTACCCTTGGTGTTTAACGTTATCCTTGGGATATACACAGCATTCCTAACTCTAGCACCCATCGTGATGGTAAAAATAGAACCGATTTAGTAATTTTTTTCTTTACCATTAGTCTGTTACACAAACCATCTGCTACGCATATGTTACCGTTAAAGTATATAATGCAGTTATTTCATAGAATATTCCATGAAATTCCATGAAATAACTGATCGTGTCCGTTAAAGTGTGTAATATGTTATTAATTTGACACTTTAACTAGTTATTCTATGAAATAACTAGGTATTCTATAAATTAACTAATGAGAGACAGTTAAAGTGTAAAATAAACAATTTATCTAAAATGAAATAACTAGGTATTCTATAAATAAACTAATGATAGACAATTAAAATGAAAAAGAAGCAATTTATCTAATTTATGCAGCGTATAAATGGTATTTATGGAAACGTACCAGAAAATCATTTGTTACAACAAGGATTACTAAAATGACACTTGGAATTACAAAGAACATTATTTCTAAAACAAAAACATTTTTTGTTGAATAGTTCATAAATGCAGTAGGGGTGGAAGGTAAATGTATTTGTCGTGCGAGATATATGATATAGATTATTTTACACTTTAACGGGCTGCAGATCGTTATTCTATGAAATAACTAGTTAAACCATGAAATACAAGAGAGTTTTACACTTTAACGGACACGATCAGTTATTTCATGGAATAACTAGGTATTCTATAAAATAACGGATTTCATACTTTAACGGTAACACATACATTTCGAACTAACACGACAATACCTTCGCTGAAACACAATCTCTGCAGTGGTAGACCAGTGACACTTATTAAGAGTTATTCTGGTTGAAATCTTAATACAATTGTTTCATCATCAGTGTCATCCCTATTCAAAGACGTCACCTTGTTATATGAATAGCATCCTACTATGTCACTGCAATCTGTTCAGAACAGAAAAGTCCCCTAGCAGCAAAATAATTTGGGCCCTCATTTGGCCAGTATTCGTGAATCTTGGCTGATTGATTGATTTGTTCATTTACGTCGCACTAGAGCTGCACAATGGGCTATTGGTGACGGTCTGGAAAACATCCCTGAGGATGATCCGAAGACATGCCATCACAATTTTGATCCTCTGCAGAGGGGATGGCACCCCCGCTTCGGTAGCCCGACGACCTGCACGCGAAGTCGAGCACTTTACGGTAGAACAGTTTAACGAGGACCAATACCGCACACCCTCGGTCCCTACGCAGACTGATCCAAGTGGTCACCCACCCGCACACTGACCGCAGCCAGTGATGCTTGACTTCGGTGATCTGCTGGGAACCGTGTCTTAACGATCAGTCCACTGCGGGACGTGAATCTTGGCTCAATAAGGGTTCAAAGGGCCATTATTTTTCCGATATTGGCTCTATATAGAATTGTCAGATTCACCCGATATTTTATATCCATTATTTAGCCAATGTAGATTCTATATTGGCCAATGTAGGCCATTTTAGTAGGGTGTGTAGCGAATTTTTATAACAAAAACTAAGCACCTTGTAAATACTTTTTAAGCACTATGTACATCAACAAAATACCTAATAATTTTCAAAGACTTTACATGATCATGATAAAATAACTAGTTTCCGACAAATAACACTTTTCTTGATTCTATTAGCCATTATAAAATGATCAAGAGATTTTTCGGTTCGACATCAGAGGGTGGAAAATGAAGTCTGAAATTGCGAATATCTTGCAAAATGCAGCAGAGTTGCACATGAAAGTGCAAGAATCTCACCGAGCTCAGCTCAGTAGACGCACGTGTGGACTGAGCATTCCATCAAACATGTAAAATGATTGGTGATTTCATACGTTACGGGCAGACAGAAAGCCAAAACGGATTGTGCTTGAATGAATTGTGAAAACATTGAATAGTACTATGGGGAAAGCACGCTTTTGCTTAATAAGTTGCAAAAATCAACACGGTAAAGAAAAAAATAATCTCATTTTTAAGAAGGGAAAATTAAGCACTTTTTAAAATCACCTAATGTAAAAAGCACCATTATGTGCTTTTAAATAACGAAAATTGAAAATAAGCACCTTTAAGCACTTTTTAAAAACGCTACGCACCATGCCTAGGACCAATATTAAAAAATCTAGACATCTCCATATTGGTCTATGTTCTCATAGGACCATATGGAGCCAATTTTGATCCCAACTTAGGCCCAAGATAAAATTGTTGCTAGGATCCAATTGATTTACCTGATCACTAAGGGGGATAACAGCACACTCTCTCCAGCTGAATTAGCTGGGGTAAATACTGGGTTTATTAAATAAATCGGTTTAAATTTATCTGTCATTAACATCCTTCTTCTGCTTCAGATTCGGGAATGCCTTGGAATTGTCCATACCTTGATATTTCAAGCAAGCCCAATCTAATTTTGCATCCAGTTAAGCCTTACAAGGATAAGATAATAATGTTCAACTGTACTCATGATTCACATAAAACCGGAAGCCCTTTCACTAGGTGCAAATCTGATGGCAACTGGAGTCACAAAGACCTGCCAGATTGCTTGCCGAATTCACCAGGCATCTCTTTCTAGGCTAATTAATTGTGTCACAGAAATGAAATTGCAACACGGACAGAATATTTATCAGAGATCACACAATTAGTGGAATAACCTAATAATTGAGTGTGTGCAATTCACCCGACAAAAAACATTTTCATTGTAAATGTATTGAAAACGATGAAGTATAAAAAAAAAATAAGATAAATGGTTTATTTTGAAGACTGCATTCATTTCATGCAATTTTTCTTATTGAAAACAAATTTGTTAAGTGAATCATCCTTCAGAAGAAAGGAAGAAGACTTTTTATATTTTAAAGAAAAATATTTTTGTGGTTTATAGCCTCGATGTGCGAATTTTTTCTAAACAAAATACATAAGAAAATTTTTGTGTTAAAACAACTTTTTGTTGAACTACAACAAAATGAATATAAAATAAAGCTTTATAGCAATCGTATTCAGTGATTGTGTTTGTTTTTTTAAATGAAAATATTAGATTATTTATACTTGTTATAATAAAATTAAAGAAAAGTGAGCAGCAATGGCATAAATCCAGCTTTTGCCAAAATGTTTCAGAACTGTTCAATTGATTGTCATGGCTCAATTAGTAGAATGGGTCAAAAAGTAGAAGTATCTTAAATCTTTTAGTGCAGAGAAATTGTCAACTATATAAAAAAGAATGAAAATTTTTTATATGTATGTACTGATATCAGCTGCTGCCACAATGGACAAAAATTTGATTAAAAAAACAGTTATATAATTTGTTGATCCAGTTAATGCTCCTGCAACTTTGATACTCATATTTTACCATGCAAGATTATGAGAGATATACATGTAAAGCAATTTTGGGAAGTAAATCTAATGAGCACGTCTTTAAAACAAAAAGGAATTAAATATTAAAACTTGAAAGTCCAAAGTTGGGGTAGCTTTGGTTACTTCATCTTGAATTCTAATAAAATTTGTATTAAATGACTTAATATACAACTTTTAAAGAATTATTATTATAAGAAATTAGGTCATAAATTTAAAAACTATAATTCATCAATATAAGTTTTTTTTTTCTCAAATAAAATTTTTATCCATTCAGTCATGTTCTAGTTATTCGATAAGCATGTTTTATTATAGATTAAACACATTTTATTATTCATCATTCATGTTTTATATTAAATTAAGTATACTCTACTATTATTAGGCTTGTTTATTATACATTAATTATATTAAATTACAAAAAGAGTATTTTACTACTTAATAATATTAAAGATCTATACCTACATAAAAACTTTTGTAACTTTATCAACTGTGCAAGTCAAGTTGCTGATGCACCGTGTGGCAGAATTTTTTCGAATTTTCTGCGACAATTCTCTCTTGTACTACCTTTCTGAAAGACTTTTTTAATAGTAGCAAATATACTGCTTGTCTAAGATAGGTACTCTGACCGCCGCTAAGTCTGCAGCAGTCTGGTGCTATGGAAACAAGAAGAGGGCATTTTAGGGAGGGTGGCTTCGATGAAGAAATCTCATCTTCTTTCGCCGTAACCAGTCCTAAAGAGGGACCTGCATCCCTACTTGAAATAATCATACCTCGTTACCATAGTTACCGCTACAGCTCCAGACGAATGTCTGGCAGAGTATCTATCGTAGACAAACAGTATATAAGTTACTAATTTTAAGTAACAGAAGCACTTTCTGTTTACAAAAAAAATCTTCATGTACAGAATAGAACCAGATATAATTTTAGATTATAAATATAAGATTTTTTAAAAAAAATCTAAATATAAAAGAATACATATTCTAATATTATTGGCGATATTCTTCTGTTATAAAAAAAAATTGTATAGTTAGCCTTTTTAAAATTTTTGCTATTTCAATCTAAAATTCTAGTTAAAGTCAGTCATTGCGGAATTTTTTCTATTCTCAAAAAAAAGTAGAAAAAAAAAAGAGTTTTTATTCCACCTCCAATATGTGGGAAGGCATTTTTTAAATATAATTCTGCAGAAAGAGGGAAAAAAGTTCTGCAAAAATTAAAATATTTTGAAAAATTCTGCAGATAAAAAAAAACCCTGACTTCCTTGCATCCCAAATAAAAAATCTTTCTGCAAGAACTGTATAATGTTCTTTAAACTCTTTAACCGTGTCTCAATTACTCAAATCTTTCTGCAAGAACTGTATAATGTTCTTTAAACTCTTTAACCGTGTCGCCACAATTCTGCCACGGGGCTGATGCATGAATTATTTCTAATAGTACATCCTAAATTTTAACAAAACTTAAATACCAATATTATTCTTATATACAAATATTATTATTCTTAAACACAAATATTATTCATATAAAGATAATGATTCCTGCTTTGATTGTTTTAAAAACTAACCGGTTTCTGAGTGTATGGTTCAGACAGAGCCACACCCACACACTTGACAATAAAAACAGTAACCCGTGATACTAATGATGGAAAAAATGAGCATTAGTTACAATAATGGAAAAACACATCACATTTGTATACCTGCCAACATTGGAGAAATAAAATAACGGATATTTTACTAGCAACATTTTTTAGGCAACAAGTAAAGTTTTCATGCATAATCATGTAAGTCAAAAACAGAAACTCAAAATTGGTAAAAAATATAAGCACTTAACATTTATCAAACTATGAATTTGTATATAAATCTTAACCTAAAGAAGATTTTTTTAAAACCATTACTTATAATTACTTAAACTATTAACACTTAACATACTGCAGTACTGGCAGTAGGATGATACTATAGGATACAGTACTGGCAATCTGTTCAAGAATAAAATAAGTTTTTTTGCCATTAGCAAATATTTTATCGCCAATTTTTTTAAAAAATTTCGTCAACAAATACGGGGAACTTTGAGAAAATATGGGTTAACAGGAGATACTCGTAAAAAAAAAGGAGTTTTTGTTAAAAACAGGAGACTTGGCAGGCATCAATTGATACCAAAGCATCAGATGATGAAAATGCTGAAATTTGTGGTGTCATTGCTTTAAGAAATGGTTGACAACACTGAAATAATAAGCACAACTGCCAACATTGGCGAAATAAAATAACAGAGATTTTACTAGAAACATTTCTTAGGATACAAGTTAGGTTTTGATACATCATGCAAGTCAAAAAGAGAAATTCAAGATTGAAAATAAAAAAAAACACTAACATTTAGTGAAGTAAAAAAAAAACATACATAACTCTTAATCTACAGAAGATTTTTTTAAAATCATTATTTATAACCACTTAAACTTTTTTATAACCGTTGTTAAACAGCCAACTCAATTTTGAGTTAATAATTTAACTCAATAATAAACTCAATTTTGAGTTTTGAGCTACTAATTTTCAACTCCGTAGCCTTGTAATTTTGAACCCAATCCAGACGACAAGGGAACTCCTGGATCAATCAGTCATTGGGAGAAATTAGTCTTCGTGGAGGACTTTTTGATGGAACTAACCCGTATTTGCGTTACATGGTGAGGAAAACCACGAAGACGTCCTACAGTTAGCCTGACCGCAAGGGGTACTTATACTATTAACACTAAACATAGTGCAGTACTGGCAATAGCACTATCTGTTGAGAAAGAAGAGAAGTATTTTTGCAATAAGAGGTTTTCATCAACAATTTTTTTAAAAAATTTCTTCAATAAATACAAAGAAATTTGAGAATATACGTGTAAACATACTTGATAGTCGTAAAATACTAAACATAGGAGACTTCATAAAAAACAGGAGACTTGGCAGGTATGAATAAGTGATACAGTAACAATGAAGAAAGCAAAAGGAACCACAACCAGCACCAACTTTTGCAGAAAGCGACTTTTAAAACAATAAGAAACTTCTTGTATTCACACAAACTTACATAAATAAAACAGGAATCTGTTATGAATCTTAAAAATATTTTAGCTTAATTAACTTTATTTTGCGTTGTAAATATTTTTTCAGAAAGAATATGATTGTTTCATATAAAAAGTTTTATACATTTTTTGTTACTTTTTATACATTTTCCAGTCAATGTTTGATAATTTATGTTTCCATACATTCATAGTTTGCAATGATTGGTGGTCCCAAGAAAAACGATCACTCGGGGTTCAACTGAGTGAATATATATAATGTTGTAGAGTTTTATTTCCAGTTAAAGAATCTCACTTACATATTTTCATATGAAGGCCATTTTATTTACACTTTTAATTCAGTTTACAGCTTTTTAACTTTATTCTTATAGCAATAAAGTTTTAAAAAAATATTAATTGAATAAATTGATACAAATTTTAATAAACAATAATGGCAGATAAATTTTAAAAAACAACATACAAAGTTTAGAATACTCAATTTTAATGTAACTATATCTGCAGAAAATGCAAAGAAAAATAATTAAAAAAAATTATTACATAGGAAAGTTTAAAACCATTACGAACAAAGAACACTTCTTCCTCCAAACTTGAAATGATATATTAATTTAAACACTGGGCTGTTTCACAAATTTGGGAAAATCTTATTCCACTATGTCTCTTTTATACATACCTCTAGAGGGTTTAAGTTTGTTAGTTGCACAAATATCTGGGAATCTTTATAAATGTGGAATCAAATTAAGTTTCCTGAATGATTAATCTATTTGATATATAAAGAATTACCTCTTCAATTTGGTTCAGTAGGTCAGTATATAAGACTGAATATGCTGCATCTTTTACATTCATTTTCTTTACTTTATAAATTATTATGTTGGTCTGTTATGGCTGTTAAGTCTTTCATACAATATGATTTTTAAATAAGCATGGTATACCTGATAGCATAGTATCAGGTGTTTCACGATCAGTTTTTCATTACTTAGAACATTATCAACCCAATGACATTGACTGCAACATACATGAGCACATTATTGGTGGAAGGTAATTGCATTTATACTTTGACAAACACTGAAAGGAAACAGGTTCCGGAAACACATTTAAACAAACCTAGGATGACTCTGGTGATAAAATGGCAAGCTTTGTGAACACTTGTATATGTTTGATCAACATTCAAAAATGCTTTTAAGCACTCTTCTTTCTTTTGTCCAGTTATCACTTCATTGCACTCGCATTAAAAAAATGTTCATGTTTCTTCCTTTCAATATGTTGTCTCACTGTATTAATCTAAAAAGAGGGAGAAAAAAATTCAATATGAGTTCATAAAAAAAACGACAGGTTTTAACGAGGGAAAAGAAAGAAAAATTTGTATCGCCTAATAATAAAAAAAGATTATAAATATATATCTATATACATTTATTTTTATGTACTTTTTCATACATTATTATATCCACTTTTTTATATAAAAAAGTAAAAATATATCAGTCTTCATTATATCAGTCACATATAGCTCTCAATTATAACGCAGAATGATTACAACACAGTTGAGTCTGATACATTGATCCCTGCCACTCAAACAAAATTAAACTTATAATGTAAAGTCTATATAGCATATGCACAAGCATACTATTAAAATTGTAATTAAATAAATAAAAAAAAAAATGCTGCTGATTTTTACAAAAAAAATGTCACTGAAAATTTCAAACTAGCAAAATAATTTATAACAACACAACTTTCTATTAATAGACATATAAGAGCACCATTTAAGAACATACAGATGAGTGAAAAATTCATAAAAAATAATATGCTGATTTGAAGCAACCATTTTCTATAAACAAAGATTCAGAAAACTGCAAAGTTGAAACAAATACAGCAGATGAGATGTGAATACTTCATTTTAAAAACAAATCACTTAAAACAATTAGGAATGGATCTTTTTAAGGTAATGAATCCATAAATGTTTTAAGTTGATTTACATATGACAGTGCAATTTTGAAAATTAATGAAGTATTCCATATTTGACATTTTTAACAATAGATTCCAATTACCTAGGATCAATAAAAATCTAGGGTGGCATGTCACTCATTCAGGTAAGCACAACAAAATCAAAAGAAATAAGTGGTTGAAATAATTACTTTGAAAATTTACTAATTTACGTTACTCATTGTCAAAAGATGTATTTTGTCTGGGAAATACAAAACTGTTTAACACTTTAATTTCAAAGTATTTTCATGTGAATAAGAGAAAATGAAACTAAACTTTAAGAAAGTTCGAATAAGACAGGATTTATGGAAGAATAGCAAATGTGACATAATTACTAAACTCTGTCATCGTAATGGAAGGATCACAGTAATGGTGGTTCGACTAAAGAGTGCAGATTAGCAGATTATAATAGTAAAAACTTTAGTTTCAAGCAGGGAATCACTTCAGATGAACATACAATCAATAAAAAAGTAAAAGAAGCTAAACAAGAATCATCAACCAAATTTTACTTGCAATATCTCATTTAAGAAATAAGATAGTTAAATTACATTTCTTATAAATATCATACAAATTATGTTATGTCCGGAAAGAACTTATGGTATTACATGATAAAATTTCACAAAAACATAAAATACTCATGAAAAACATAAACCAACAAAACATATAAAGAATATAAATGCCTGAAATAATTTTAAGAATGAAAGAATAAGTTAAAAGACATGAAAATAAATGAAATGACATCTGGAAAAATGTTGAAATTTCAAATGCTGCTGTTACACACAACATATCGAGCAATAAAACATATCTAGTTATTAGACATTTTCATCTTTTAAAAACTCGTGATTAAATAATCTTTATTTACTCTGTATACTTAAAAAAAAAAAGTTTTTTTTAAAGACAAATGATTTTCCAAAATAGAAATGGAAAAAAAAATAAAATAATGTTGAATCAACTTTTAACGGAAGCCACAAATCTCTTACATAATTAATTAATATTCACAGAAACTTTCAGAATCAGACTTGCCATAACAGCAGTTTCAGAAAAAAAAGCTAAATTTCACAAGCTCACATACAACTTTAGAAACAAGATTTTTAAATTACGGATCAAACTATAATAAAATTATATTTTAAAATAATTATTTCATTAAATAAACATAAATTAAATAAAGACAATTATTCTATAAATGTATCCAGTATTTTCACTTAAAGTTATATGATAATTCTGTCTGCTTTAAGTTTTAAAATGTCGTTGCTTTTTAAACTCTCCAGTAATTTTCTTCTAAAGAAAATCTGCAAATTCAATATTCTGTTTATCAAACTGCAACTTGATTAACATTTTTTAAAATAGAATTTATTAAATTTACTTAAAGGGCTTCACTAATTTCAAAATGTAACTAAATATGAAATAAATTATAATTTGTGAATCATCACTCAGTTTTGCATTTTACCAATTCAGTAATTATAATCAATGAAGAGCCGAAATCTGTCGAACAGTTCCTGAAAAAACAAGTTTGTAGGGGGGGGGAATATAGATCTTTCTTCTGTTTAAACCAGGTTAAACTGGGATCCTTTTGATTTATTTGAAACAATAGGTAAAATAACATTTTGACAAAAATAAACTTAATTAATGCATTAAACAATTTCATATAGTTATTAATCAATATTTTCAATAAACAATTTTTAAAAAAAATCTCATTTTTGTTCAATAAATATACCAATAAATTAAAATAGAATGACGAAAGATTTTGATTATGTTTATACTTATATATTTTATATTATGTTTCTACTTATGTATATTACAACTCCATTTAAATAATAAATATAAATGCAAATAAAAATTTAAAATCTAATTGTTATATAATATATTAGTAATAAATTAAATAAGGTGTACTCCTATTAGCTAGTCAGTATACATAAAAATGCCAATTTTTCAGCATTATTTAATGTTTTGGTAAAGCAATATACAAAACATCATTAATTTCATTTATTTATGTAGTGAATACTTATCTGTTCTTTTTCAATGGAATTAATACACATTTTAAGAAGAGCACAATAAATTTTAGGTAATACATAAATGTAAAATTTTTTTTTAAAACAAGGAATTGATGACTAGGGCTGACAACATCAAATTGGCTGTATACATATGTGTATAAAATATTAAAGTAAAGGCATGTTTTATAGTATTAATGAATTTATAATAAATATAGAATAAAATACTTTGCTGTTTTATCAAATCATTGAAGTTTAAAACACATATATGTTTACAATGCAGCATTAAATAAAACAATATACCTTGATAACATTTTAAATGTTCCTTTATGAAAACATTGTACTTTGAATTAAGTAGAATCAAAATAAAAAATATTTTCACAGTAAAATTTTTTTCACATTCATAACAGAGAAAAAATTCTAAAAATAATCGTGAAAATTATACATAAAATTTAGAATAGCACCTCTATTGGCAATTATGCTTTTCAATGCTGTAATCATATATTATTTAACAAGTTGTTTAAACAAAATTCTTTTTAACCTACTAAAATTTTTTTCACATTCATAACAGAGAAAAAATTCTAAAAATAATCTTGAAAATTATACATAAAATTCAGAATAGCACCTCTATTGGCAATTATGCTTTTCATTGCTATAAGCATATATTGTTTAATAAGTTGTTCAAACAAAATTCTTTTAATCTACTTTTAAAGTCAGCGCTAACTATTTCTAAAAACTATCCAAATATTAAGTAATTAACGGTCTGTTTTATGTTAAGCAACTTTAGAAACTTAACTTTAAATTTGCTCATATTAATTCATTTTATAAGTATTTTTTGCAGCAATGATACATAAACATTAAAAAACTACACATTAATGTACATGTAAAGTAACACAGATGTACACAAAAATTCAATCAGGGTAATTTTCGTTATTATTTCACACTGCACATTTTATTAATGGCAATTTTAGAATTGATAATTAAGTCTTGTAATAGAAATGAGAAGGGAAAAGCAGAATTTCTTGCAGAAAAGAAATAGTGGCATGGCGGTATAATAGGGTGTTTTTTTCTAAACAAAAATATAAAATTTAATATGTTTGATAAAAATATAAAATTATTAATGCACAGTGAAACTTAAGTTACTTTAAGCATCATTTGCAAGTAAAAAATGCTTTTCAGAATAGAAAACGTAACAAATAGAAATCTGAAATAAATGTTATTTTGATGCAGACTGGCATGATAGGGTGACCCGGGGTAATTCACGATTACTTTGTTTCTGGGGTAAATAATGATCACCTAAGTTTTACTTTAAAAAAATTATTTTTTTTTTAAATTTGAGACATGGACAAGAATGCTTGTACACTTTACTAAAGTATAACTACATTTACTTAATAATAATTTTTTGTTTAATCTAACAAAATAAGTATCTTTTAAACTGCTTTCTGTATTTTCCATTTCAAAGATGGGTTTCAAAATGTGCATATTTCTGCAAAGATCCCCCTCAATCTCTTAATAATAAATATTTTGAGTTACTTTCTTTTTCTTTGATTTAAAAGTAGTGTAAGCTTTTGTTTCACATCAACTGTAAACTTTATAATTGATTATAGGAAACTATATCAAATGTTGCCCCCTACAGATGGGGTAATTATTGATCACTGGGGTAATTCCAGATCATTGTAATTTCTTCATATAAATAGTATAGAAAATAGCTTATAAATAGCTAATTGTCTTTTCTTAAATAACAGTTCATATTTATTAAGTGGAATTTTTGTTTTGAACAAAATTTGTTTTTAACTGTATGCAAGACTGTATTCTGATTTGCACCATTTCTGGCTTGTCTTACCTTGCTTCTATCTTAATTTTATGTGTGTACATCGTTAAAATAATTTTTAAGTTTATAAATTAGCCTAGTATAAATATGGTGAGAAATTATAAGCCTAAAAAGGATACTAAGCTTCTGGAAAACAAAATTAGTGAATTTTTTTAATGATTGAAAATTAAAATTTCAGTGTGAGAGCTGCTGCCAGAGCTGTTGGCATACCTTACTTAACTTTACACTTTCCCTTAATGAAGTTAATAAATTCAGCAAAAGTAACCCATGTGGGAACTCTCTTATATTTCAGAAGAACATGAGAATGAGTTGGCTGATTGCCTAAAATGTATGGAACGATGCAAAGATTTTTGAAAAATTAAAGCGTTAATCGTTCTTCTTGCTTTAAAATCAATTGTTTTATTAGCTGCTTAAACATATCTTTTTGGTTTATTTTTTGAACTTGATGTCTTATTTGTTAATTACCATTATATATAATTATTTTCAAACAGCCCCTTTACAATAAAAACTGGTGATCAGATATTACCCCAGAAGTGATCAGGAATTACCCCAGAAATGATAAAGACCAAGGGTAATTCCTGATCACTAAAAATTTAAATTTTTTTAAATTCTAATTAGATTTTCAAACAAAAGAAGTTGGCATAGGACTCATCTCATATAGCCTCAAACTTCCAGTAAATATTAAAATTCTATTTTGAATAGGTTTTTTCACAAAATAGATGTTTGCATTTTTTGATCAGGAATTACCCCAGGTCACCCTATCATATTATTGTTTGCATAGATACATACTGTCTTTAAAAATTATTGAAAAAATGCTTGGAGAGAATACCAAAATCTGCATCATTATCTTTCTTTCTGTTGCCCTTTTCCACCACCCTAATGAATTTAGATTTTTTCAAAAACAGTTATTCATTCAAATAAAAATAGATATGTTTTTGATTAAGTGAGTTTAGTTTCTAATCCATGCCAATACCCCAAGGCGCCTAGTTAATATTCATAAAACATTAATTCAAACCAAAACTGACAGTGCTCCCGAGGCCCCATAATCGATAAATAAGAGAAAAATCATTACAAGAATTAAGAAGCACAGAAAAATAATGAACCAGCAAACACTATTTAAAAGTACACATAGTAAGACATAAAATTGAAACAGGACATCCGAACATTACAAGACATACAGACATACGAAGCATTACAAGAATTAAAAAGCACAGAAAAATAATGAACCAGCAAACACTACTTAAAAGTACACATAGTAAGACATAAAATTGAAACGCCCCCTACTAAATAAAAATAGTTACAGTAACAGTTAGAATAACCAAATCAAAATAAAATATAAATTGGCAAATCAGTAAGAAAATATTATAAATAAATCAAGTGCTGACCCCTATTTGAAAATCCTGAACAATGAAACAAAAAGACACTCAATGAGTAAAAAAATTTTGTAAAAAGTGGTGTCATCTGTTCTGGAAAAGAAATCCTAAATTTCACCGCATAGGCCAATTAATGCGGGCTTTAATATGCCAATACCCTACGCCGTATAGTTAATATTCAAATAACATTTAATGCCTTATTTAGAAAATTCTCTAATGAAACATAAAAATTAAATTCGCTCAACATATATATGAAAAAGGTTTTTTTTTTCTTCCTTTTTATTTTAAGATAACAACAAATAACAGACCAATGAAACAAATTTAGCTATAAATAGATACATTTTAAGAGTAAACATGTTCAAATTTATAATGTACAATGCTTATAAAAAAACTATTCATAGTAATCTACTTACATTTAAGTTTTGTAGAAAGTCACTTATTATCAGATCACTCACAAACAAAGAGCTACAATTAATAGCTAGCATTTTGTACAAAGCTTGGTCCAGAATCATCTAAAATATAAAAGTGGCATTAAAATTGAAATATAGATATGCAAAGTCTATTTATAAAATTCAGAACCTACTAAAAGTGGGTAGAAATATTTTTAATTGTTTACTAATATGAAGTTTTAAAAATTTTCAATCCCAAACAAATCAATGACAAAAGTAAATAAAAACAATCACATTTGCCTCTTACTAGTTAATGGTATGAAAATGGTCACTTCAGAGGGGAAAAAAAATATTTTTTTGGGTACAAATTTAGCCTTTGACATGAGTGAAATATTTTATTTTTACAAACGTCGTCAAATAGCCAACCCAATTTTTGGGTTTACGACTACTAATGTACATCTCTGTAGCCTTGTAATTTTGAACCCAATCCAGAAGACAAGGGAATTCCTGGATCAAGTATTGGGGGAAATTTGTCTTCGTGGAGGACCACGAGAACCTCCCACGGTTAGATGACGGCAAGGAGACTACTCTAACCCATGATCCCTCTACCACTGAGGATATGTCATGTCGGCACTGTGATCAGTGCAAGCCAGATGTGGATTCGTATTGATCAGCCATTGTCGGGTTTTGAACCTGGTTCACCTCATTGAAAGGCGAACACTCTAAATGAAAATATTTAAAATCTTACAAAACTATTATGTAGATATTTCTAGAGATGATAAACTCAAATCCAGCCCTCACAAATAGTAAAAAGAAAAATTAATAAAAATTCTTCAAGTACTTTTTTTCTATAATCAGATAAAAAATGCTTTTAAAACAAATTTTTACACTTGAAACTAAAAATTGCCTTTTTTTAAAAAAAGAAATTTTGAGGGGACTACTTAACATTTAATAGAAAAAAACATTTGTGTCATTAGAACATTTTTTTTAGCTTTTCTGAATTGTGATTACACACTATATACCACTTTTAAACTATTTGAAAATCAAGGTGCAGGTTCAAATCAAGGAGGAGATCATCAAGGAGTCATTAGAAAATCAAGGAGGAGAAATGGTTTATGTCCATTTTTCGCATAAAAGATTATTGGATCATCATCCAATTCATTTTGGAGTTTAATTAATATACTAAATTTTGAAAAATCAATAATTAGGAAAATTGGTTCTTCCTGAGAGTTATTACAGTGAAAATGGGTTGTGCTGAAGAAAAACGGTGTTTGTCCGTGTGTAATTTTTTTCTTCTTCTCAAAATCAGCATTCATGGACATAAACTGTTCTTCCCCCTTGATCCTTCTTTGACCGCCCTGAAGTATAAATAAAATTACACTTCTAAATCAAAGAATGCATAGAAACTCACAAACTAGGATAGACAGTCCCATGATTGAAGATTTACTAGATTTAAAGAAAAAAAAATTGCAGTCTTCTAGACACCGAACTAAAAAATACAGACAGAAAAGTTTTAATCTTCAAATGGCTGAAAATTGATCAGGATTAAACCCTTCAAAAACTATTTTTTAAAAATTTGTCACATTTTGAGGCCCAAATTCTTCAATGAGTAGGCTGAAAATCGATCAGGATTAAACCCTCCAAAAACTATTTTTTAAAAATTTGTCACATTTTGAGTCCCAAATTCTTCAATGAGTAGGCTGAAAATCGATCAGGATTAAACCCTTCAAAAACTATCTTTTTAAAATTTGTCACATTTTGAGGACCAAATTCTTCAATGAGTAGATATCCTATTTTTACATTGCAATTTTGGAAATAATATTTAGTTATAGGTATTAAAAAAAATTCACAACTCACTTTATCCTGGAAAGAAAGAGCCCAGAAAAATAAAATTAAACATTTTGAATCATTAAACATAGCCAATAGTTCAGATGGAGGAATCATGATGCCTGTAATAAAGAAAAGTTTCTTATAAAAGTATGTTGGAGTAACAAATTAAGGAAATTTAAACACATTAAACAAATGTTTTTAATTGAAAAACTTTGGTGCTAATTCAATTATGATCAACAAGAAAAAAGCTTTTATTGTTTGCATATTGTTAAACCATTTGATTCAGATCAAACTTAAGATGGACTCTGTCAAATCATAATCTACTTATCTCATGGTACAAAAATAAAATAGATATTACGAGATGACTTACAATTTAGGACTAAGAGGTCTTCTCTCTGGCAGAATTTTTTCAGGCTTTCTGCGACATACCTCTCTAATACTAATATATTTCTGCAAGATACTTTTAAAAATAACAAATACACATGTTACTAAATTAAAGTATTAGGAACGTCAACTTCAAAAATCAGGGTCGCCACTCCAATCAGGAAAAAAAAATTCCCTGTAGATATTATACACAATATATTAAGAGGAAACACGCTATCACTGAGCTTTTGTGGGAGATATATTGTACCAACTAAACTAAATTTAATAACCGGAGAAACTTTAAAAAAAAAGGCACAGCTGAACATTTTAAAACAAATAATGCTAGAGTAAATTAAATAGTTTAGTATAGCAGAAATATCCTCCCTAAATATACCATAGATTGTGCTTTAGGTGGTCACCATTTTTTAAAAGACGAAAATAAGAAACGAAATTCCCTTTTTTTTCCCAATTTGTAAGAACTAAAAACTCCCTTTATTTCCTCTGTTATTTTTGGTAATTTTTAAATTCCCTGTATTTTACAGGTCTTCCTTGTTCTCCCTGTGGCAACCCAGAAAATTCAACATATATATATATATACTTTTCTTATTAAATAAAATTACTTTTTAATTAAATATGTAATTTTTTTTATTCCAATATTATGGGCGATATTTTCACATTTTGTTGGGGAAAAAACAAAACTTATTTTCTCATTTGCATTTTGTAAATTATCACCACATTAAAAAAAATTAAAAAATTACAAAATCCATAACAGTAACTACCGAAAAAAAGAAAAAGATCGACAATGAAATCACACGAGTCGGATGATGAAAAGGGTTACTACATGCGTGTTTTCATTTTGAGATTCAGTTGTAATAAATAATACAGCATTAAAAATATCGTATTTTAAAAACTATGGGGAAATCAAAAATGACTGCATAAAAAAATTAGAACGAAAATTTCCGCAGAGTAAAAAACAAATTTTTTACTTCATTACTTTTTATTTTTCATTATTCTCAAATGAGAACAGAAAAATCACAAGCATTTTTTTCCACTCCGATGTACGAGAAAGACATCTTTTGAATATAATTCGGAAGTAAAGATAAAACTTTCAAAAATTTCTGCAGAAAAAAAACGTAAAATTTTTTACTTCCCAAAAGAAAAATCTTTCTCCGAGAAACTGGCAACGTTCTGCAACAATGTCGCCACGATTCTACCACGAGGGAGGTCTTTATACTCACAATTTTAGATTTTAGGATACATTTTAGTGTTTTCTAGTAGTTTTTTCTGGTTATGTAACAAGCTTGTGTTGTTAGTACGATTATTGATTGTTGAATACTAATTGATTGTTGAATGGTACTGGTTTTTTTGTCAAAAAAAAAAATAATAAATAAACTGAAATACTGCACACATCAAGTTTTGAATGGGATGGCCTAGTACCATGCTCAGAAGATACTGCGAAACAGAAAAAATATCCACCATCTCAATGGTTATCCACCATCTCAATTAAGAAAATTTAGAAGAAAATGCCAAATTATAACCAAAATAAAAATTATTAATGAATGACAAAGACTTAGTGACTATTTAGTATAAATACAAATTTTTTTTTCAGAATTGTAAACAAAGAAACTGTAAGAAGTTTTGTAACAGTATTTGTATCAAAATATTTTTCAGGTTTTGGCAACAACCCAGCAGTGGCTGGTGACAGGGGATATTTCTGAATTGTGATCTGTCACGCTAACTACAATCACTAACGTACCAAATGGATTTCAAGCTTGCAAATTTTTATTTTTAAAAAAGACATGTAGATGTTTTTTTTAGTTTCTTGCGGGCCGCTGCCAAGACTTGGCAATTATTCTGCCACAGATCACAATACGGAAATCTCCCCTGGTGAGAAACTAAAAGCTAACACTATGGAAGAGTGCAAACTAGCAGTGTGTAACTAATAACTACCTTTTGGCAAACCAGAATATTTATTATTTTTCGCAAGTAAAAAAATTCTTTGGCACCTCAGAAATCATAGTTGGTGTTTAACTCCCATGGAAATATCCTCTGGTAGCTTAAAGTGTGAGCTCATCAAAAGATTTCCATAGTCACTCTGCATAAAAAGGTATATTTACGTGTTAAGATCCGGCACATCAACTTTAATCGCCAAGGTGTCAAATAAATTTTAAAATCTCACTTGAAAAAAAAAAAAAAAACAAGCTGATGTTGGCCCTGCAGTGGCTACAATTACCATTGGAGTTGTTTCTTCTCTGTAATGTTTTTCCTTAGTTACATGCGAGTCACTAATCGGAAGTTGTCAAGACTTACTTATTGGCAGAAGTGTATTATACTGCCACAGATCATGATGCGAAAATCTACCCATATTAGATTTAGCAAATCTGTTACATTAATATAGTTACAAAAGAATAGAATAAGAGTTTTGCTTTAAGAGCAAACTATACTTCTATCAACTAGAGATGAATTGGTGCAGGGGTCTGTCCAGATATTTTGTGAAAGGTCTTGTTTTTGTAAAATTGGGAAAAACTATTCATAATTTGTGAATATAAAATAAGCGTTAAGTCACATTCTTTCAACCAGGGTCTGGCTTTGTGAATTTGTGCAAATAGAGTTCTGTTATTGCAAAAATTGATAAAAACCTTTTCAAGAAGTTTTTAAATTGTAAATAGATACAAGAATTGGCTCAACAATTGCTGTTACTAAATTAGAGATGTAGCATAAAAATATTTGGCATTTAGCCTATACTGCTTAACACAGAATAGTCATTTCGGACGAATAATGGAAACAAAATCACTCACGACATTTTTAATAATTTCAATTGACATATTTTAAGTAACACAACTTAGTAATGAATCACTTTTAATATGTTGCACATTAAGTAAACTTAAACAATTCTTAAATTTATAATATTTTATTTCAAAAATTGCCAGAAATTAATTTTTATTACTTAATAATCTATTAATTAATGTTAAGAATAATTAATTGATTATGAATCATAAATTGATCAATTATTTATTTACAAAAAANTTAATATTAATAAGAATGCGCACACGATGTTTGTAAAAGTAGAAATATTTTCTTAGAATACTACACTTGGAATTTAAACTTAGGGAAACTTAGTTTGTCTTGAACCCCCCCTCCCCAGGTAAGGTTTATTCCATTAACAAAACAATAATGAAGATAATCAAATTTGTGAGGGGTCCAATTAAAAAATAAATTATTTTATGAAGGGTCCGTTTTTAAGAAAAGATATTTTGTGAAGGGTCCGTTAACCAAATTTCTTCTAAACAGAACCCTGAGGTGAAAAAGGTAATTCGATAAATATGAGATGTTACAAGATGAAAAACAGTTCAAATTTTTTGTTGCAGCTGTCAATTGACAGTAGTACGACTCAACACTGATTCAAATGATTGTCATCGCAAGCAAAACAAAGCAAAGATGTTATTTACCTTTAATTACAGTTCAAGTTACTTATCAGAGAAAGAAACAGATATAATATCTGATTTTCTCAAGAGAACATTGCTAGGCTCTTTACACATTGGCACAAGTGCATTTGAAAAAAAAAATTTACTTCCATCTGGATTGCAGCCTTTATAAATTCCAGAAAGCTTAATGTTTTCGTGCATTTTAATTTTGGCATGGAAACTGCCAAGATGAGCCAAGGATCGAAGATACTCTTCTCTTAAGCGTGCTACTTCATTTGTATCAAAAGTTCCTAAATGAGACATTTCATTTATTTTTATTCATTCAATAAAACTAGTTGAACCTAAACAAGACAAAAATCCAAAATTCATAAGAAAAATAATACCCAAATTGAAACGCGTTTAAGTGCCTACTTTTGTTCGACTACATCACTAGATATAAAACCCTTAAACCCCTTAAACTGTTTAAAATCAGTTTTTAAGGAGCATTCTCACTAATTACTTTGACGCACTTTCGATCACTCAATCAGGTTCTCTTATTTCCTCGACGGTAATCAGATATGCGGCAATCGAATCCGAAGCTGAATTTCGCGCGGGCTGAATTTTACAGTGTTGTTTAAAAGTATTATTGTTGTTTTACAGTATTAAATAATCTTTAAACTGGACAAAAAACTCCGCATTCTCAGGTATACATGGCGTATAACTAGAAAATGTTCATATAACTAGAAAACAACGAAATGATTTTTTTGACGATTTCTTGTTTAGGTAGAATTTTAGTTTCGTATGTTGTAGTTTACGTAGCATAAAGGACTATTGGCGATGGTTTAAGATCCGAAAGCATGCCATCACAATTCGCGATCGCAACTCTCGAATACGCCATCTGCGAAAAAGACAGGTTCCATGTTTTGACCCTTCCCTCCATTCTTTTTCTCATTTGCATGGAAATGTAATACGATAATTTCCCCTTCCATAATATTTTTCGTATTTAATTGTCAAAAATATTTTCTAAAATTTCTACGACGCTTTCTTTAAGAACTCTAAGTTTAATACAGTTTTCGATTCCATATAGTTTCCTAAGTTAAAAGCTTTTATTTATTTGGAAATTGAGAAAGAAACTAGCGTACTTCCTTCTCCTATGAATATACACACGCTAATGGTGAAAACATGCGAAATGTTACCATAGGTAAAGAGTTCCGCTCTGGATTTAGTAGACCATTTCGATCGCCAATTGTGCAGCTGTAGTGTGACGTAAATAAAATACCTACCTTCCTTATAATATTTTCATCGCTCCATGTATAAAGTATAATTATTTATTATAATTAAACTTTTAGTACCAAATACTAAGTGTAATTCTTAATAGCAAAATATAATAATTTTAAAAAAATTTATAATTGCTTTTAAAGTTAAAACACAGTGTTTTTTTTTAAAATATTTTTTATAATGCAGTAATTCTTCGTAATGCGGTTTTTAATAATGTGGTGTTTTATAATGCGGTTTTTTTTTTATAAAGCAGTTTTATAATGCGGTATAAAGCAACTAAAAAAAGATTCAATATAAGTATATTTTTCAAAATTTATTTATCACTTTAAAATTATTTCCAAGTAATGCTTAGTCAAAATCAGCCTTTCATCTTTTCAGTGGGTAGATAAGATGAGTACCAAGCATGCTTAGGGACTAAACACTGGGGGTTGTTCCGTTTTCTTCTGACCACCAAATCGGAATATCTGCTCCGGCATCCCAGAGTCCAAGGTCAAGAAAACTGAGATGGGCACAGCAGGCCTTGGCCCTCTCTATGGGCTGTCGAGCCCACTGAGTTTAATTTAGTTTTGTTTTGTTAAAAGGTACCAGATCTGAAGAGATAAAAGAACTCTTGTAATTGTGCTTGATATGGAATTTGTCACACCAAACAATATATTAACATGATGCAGTTAATTAACATGATGCAGTTGATGCATTAATTAACATGATGCAGTTGCCATGCATCATGTTAAGCGGAGGAGGGGGGTCAAAAGTCTTCCGTTTTCTAAAAAATTTTAATATTTTTAGAAATAAGTTTCCCGAGCTAGACCTTTCGTCTTTTCTTTATAATCGTCTATATAAAAGTTCAGATTGGTGCTCCGAATATTGTATCAAGACCTTTAGAGAAAGCTTTAATTGTGTATATTTGAAACATTAGATGCAGAAATATTAAAAGCAGTAATATTAAAGTTTTTGAAAACTACTTGTGATACTTTAATTCTGAATTAGTTGCTTTTGTTTTGATGAAAATCATGAAATGGAAATCAAAATGCCTTCAAAACTATTGTCGCTTCTTAAATATAAAATTGATAAAGAATATACAATATTTAGGAAAGCAAAATAATTATTACTCTATCCTAACCATTAACTCTTTGCTTCTTTAATTGTTTTTTTATTTTAGAAGTAAAGAAGTATTAAATTTGCTTTTATTACTTAAGTTGCTAATTTTAACATAATTGATAGTTCGATGTTTTGTCTCAATTATTGAATTGCTTTAAAGTAGAGTAATTTTTTTCATAAACATGTTTACTTTCTTTTTCAATTAGACATTTTATGTTTGTCACATTAAAAAATAAATATTATATATTCTTTCTTACTTAAACCATTTTAGGCTCATTATCATCTGTACGCAAATTTTCTCTTTCCTTAAAAAAGTAATTTTTTTTCTGTTGGGATTAGGAAGAACACGTACGTTTATTTTTGATATTTTCATTTTTATTTGACAAGGACGTTTCAATTTTCAATTGAAAAAAACTGTGACTTTAGAGGGCGAAATCTGTAATTTATTTTTTTGAGCTGAAACTTACAGAATATTTAAACTAAGAAACTACATTAATATTAAAAATATCTAAGCTGCTTCTTACAAACGTAAAATTATATCCTAAATTTCATCATAATATATCCTATTGGGCATGGATTATTTTAAATTTTGTTCATGCGAAAATTAATCCCAGCACTTTTAATGTTTTGAGATATATACAAGAAAAAAAAGTCCTTTTAAATTACATCAGATCTTTTAGGGTTATGGAGAGCCATCAAAGAAATTCGAACTTTCGTTTCTTATGGCCAGCCTAATAGCCCATGTTTACCCAGTACTAAAGCTTTGGTACAATGACTCGTATAAGAAAAAGCATTATTTGAACACATCTTTGCTTTTACCAACTTTTTTTCTTTTTTTTGGGGGGGGGGAGTTTAAGAGAGAATTATTCTTGGAAAAAAAAAACACTGTCACAAGTGGGTGGTGTAAAACTGGCTTCATTCACACTAAAACTGACCTCTTCTGTGGAATTCCGCAATGGTTGGAAATCCCTATACTGTAATGCAATTTAAAAAATTTAAAAAGAAAAACGTGCTTTACAATAAGCACGTGCTTTACAATAGATTTCGAGGAAAGTAGCTGATCAAAAATTTATTTTCTTTACCATTACAATGCTAAAATAGAATCTCAAGAAAGCTGATTAATATTTTTTATTTATATATATTTTTTTGCAATACATAAAGTAACATGCAAAAATGCAAAATATATAAAAATCTCCATTTCAAATTCTTTGTCCTTTACGTTGATTTTAATATAGCATGGCAGTATAATACAGAATCAATCGAAAGACAACAAATTTAAAAGCTGGTATTGAACAAGGATTAATAAATACCAACTTTTACCAACTTTCAAAACTATTTCAAAACTTTCAAAACTATTTATAATTTTCGCTTTCACTTTGCTGTTCAGTAGCTCACTAATGTTACAGGTTCTATGCAAGTAAATACACACATTATTATTTTTAAAAAGTCGGGATTTTCACGGGAGTTTTAGGTTTTCCTCCCGAATGAAATGTTTTTTTTTCCCGGGTTAGTTACATTCCTGCAAAAATCGAACTTTGACTTTACTTTTGACGCACGATTCAGTGTCATTTGAAGAAAATGGAATGAACAACAAGGAAACTGAAATTATCCGACGGAACAAAATGTCACACACTCGACTGCATTTAAGTAACAAACATTTGTGAGGGCACATTATGTCTGGAGGATACGCCATGTTAAAGAAGAAAATACAAACAATGAAAGCGTTACGCTTTTGCACTTAATTCTTCCACGACTCTTTCTTAATAAGGCACGCTATTCAAAGCTTAAGTTTTTTTTAAAAGCATTGATCGTTAATATGTTACAAAGCGGAAAACGGCAAGCCTAGTTTCCTATCAGTTATTGTTCATCAGAAAAAGAAGAAAAAAAATTACTCGTTGCCAACCGGAAAAAAGAAATGATTTGCTGAAATGTAGTTTTGTTACAACAATATGCAGAGTATACAAAAGTTGTTGTCAGAATTTTTTCTACTCCTGAAATAGGGTAAAATTAACTGTCATCACCTGCCAAGAGTGATTAACGTGAAAAAATGGCGATTAAAAATTGCATACCAGTCGCCACACGACACACGATCGCCACTTTTATTCGTCGAAAATGCACTGTTTTTATTCTTTTATTTTCAATATGTTTTTATGAATATGTTTTTCGAAATTACGGTAGTAATTGCAGGGTATTAATCTAGGTTGAAGGATTTCTAAACACTAAACAGTATCTTTGAAGGGGAAAGCTTTAACTGTTACTATTCTATCTCCCCCCCCCCATGATTATTCAGCACTAATTAAATTTGCTTAGATTAGAAACCCGAAAAATTAAGTTAAATTTGCAACATTTGAAAAATAGTTTTATATTTATCACTATTGCACAATTATAATTATAAAAAAAGATTATAATATTTAAATGTTGAATTACATAAGCTCATTCGCGCTTTACATTCTTTTAAATACACGGTTCTTTCTTCTCCCCTCCCCCAAAAAAGAAAGTGGTAGAAGAAGTGTTTCATTGTTAAGATTAATTTTGCTGGAATAAGATAGCTCACGTTCCCATTGTTATACGAATAAGTTTAATACTTAAAGCATTTCCGCGACAATCTGTTGTGAGAAGAGCCGTATTGGCTCAGGGGATAGAGCGTTCGCCTTCCAATGAGGTGAATCTGGTTCGAATCCCAGCGACGGCTGATCGATTCGAATTACTCGGCTCGCATAAACCAAAGCGCTGACGTTAAATGTCCTCAGTGGTAGAAGAATCACGGTTTAGACTCCCCTTGACGTTAGGCTAAATGTGAGAGGTTTTCGTGGTTATCCTCTCCATGTAACGCTAGTGCGGGTTAGTTCCATCAAAAAGTCCACCACGAAGGTAAATTTCTTCCATTTCTTGATCTAGAAGTTCCCGAGTCTTCTGGATTGGGTTCAAGATTACAAGGCTACTATTTGAACATTAGTTGTCGTAAACCCAAAATTGGGTCGATAGTTCAACGACGATTATAAAATAAAATAAAACCTATTATGAGCCAAGGAATAATGGAGAATAATGCTCCACAACTTCAGGACCAACG